TTTAACGATTTAAGCGATATATATTAATTAAACGTACTTATTTGCAGCAGCTGTGGTCACTAGTATGTATATATATCGAGTTTTAAACCGTTTTAAACGGTTACGGTGTTTCATTTAAGTGTGTACAACTCGCGTTAACTACAGACAGTATTTAACGTTATACGCTTACCAAAGGCACTTTCAAGATAAAACCTTAAAACGAAGGACCTATTTGAGTAAAAGGTTGGCGTTTTTAGTAGTGGTGGAACTAATGTGTTTGTGATTGAAGTTGTTTAAAAAACTACTCGAGTAGAACTTCTAGCTTTAATCAAAACTCAATAAAATTGTCTACTGATCGCAAGGTGTCTACTTATCGTGCTCGAGTACCATTCGACATCGTTTAGGACCCTCAAACCACTCCACAGAATCCTTTGTGTAGCTTCAACCGTCCTATAAAGACTGTTGTATACGGATTTTGAATTAGGGGCCGTTTAAAAATCTAACATGCTTTGGTAACCTGGTGATGTTAGCCCTATCAGTTTTGAAGATGCCTATCTATTTCTATGCGGAATTTACTAGACTAGAAATTTACTATTTAGATATACCAAGTCACAAATGAAAGAAAAGTTTTTTAAACACTCGCTCACTTTCCATTTAATGACGATATCATTTCTCAAGTAAGGTAACATTATGAACGATACTTTTTAATGATTAAATCTCTCGTTTTAATAATCAAAGATAATGACGGTAATATATTTTTGTCAAATTATGTATAAATATTTACAGAACTCTTGTATAAAATGCGATAAGACTACGGATTTTAATTTATAAGTGACTCATTTAAGACGATTTACTAATAAACTAATATTGTTATGTAATATATCTCTTTATTATTTTGAAACTTAGTTCGTTTGAAAACCAGTGCATAATAAAAAATATCTCTTTTTTGTTTCTTAACGATTTCAGCTATTAAACCATCTTGTGTCCCTTTTAACCCGAGTTTGACAAAAACTCTTATCGCTAATGTTTTTAACATTTGTAAATTCCAACCGATTTTTTGCGTAAGAAATATAAGGACATGTTCACAGGACGATCTTGCTCGCTGACCCTTTTTTGTTTTTAATCCCTACTGGTTAACATGAATCCTGTGTATTCTTTATTCGTATTTTAGGGACTGTTATAATTAAGGATTTATAAGATTTTAAAGATATATTAACATAAGTCTTTTATTTCGCCTAATTTATAGATAGTCTAATCTTAGGTTAATATTATACCAGTACATACATAGGTGTATAATAAAGGCACAACACATTAAAAAAAAAACAATTAATAATCCATTTTATCCACCTTTTAAAGTATAGTGTGGAAAAGCCTTATCGGTTCCCTTGTCGTCTAATGGGAAGGCAAACAGACCACCACATGTTGACACGCCGTGATACAGAGCTCGGACGCTTTATAAATATTTCGACGCAGCCAGGGCACAAGCCATTATCCCATTAGGAAACTGGAATGGGCATTACTCACCCACGACGGTGCGATATATTAAAACTAGAATCCCAAGTGGAGGTTATTATGATTTAGTTATCCGAGACACCCCGCACCGCTCTCCCCTCGTACCTTAGCGTTTATGGCTATTTACTGACATAATATTTAACACGATAAGTTAGCTCACCTCAGCTCCGCCGGCTCACTTCACACCGCCAAAACAATCCACAGCTTTGTTTCAATACACGATCGATACCGCGCGACCCTCCACACCGTAAGAAGTAAATTACTTTTAATCACCATTCAGAACGTAAACGCACGCGGCCTCTATCCACAATCGTTTCGATCGCACATTCGTTCAATAGAACATATCCTTGTAATCAAATCCACAGTAGGTATAAACAAATAACTGATGATTTCACGGTGGAAACACTAGTTCGTAGTGCACACAGCGCCGCAACGAGTCGGCGGATGACCGCGGAACTCTGAACGCTACGTGTCCCCGACCGGTATGGGAGCGAGCGGGATGGGGATATGTAGCTGGCCGTCAAGTGCGAGAGGGACGGCTAGTGTTTTACGGGTTTAGGGCGCATACTGATTACGACCGCGGCGTCTGTCGTCGGAGCGTCCAATCGTCGATTTAATGTTTATCCGGGGACCGGAGTGAAATAGATAACAATTGTCGACGGTGGCAGACGTAAACCCATTCATTATTATATTGACAATAAGTCAATATTGCTGTCTTGAGGTCAATGACCTTTGTACAGACATCGAAAAGCCGAATGCTTTGCCAGATTCCCCAAAATCAATTATAATTTCAAATGTACTTTTTGATACAGAATAGCCAAACCAACGCTAAAAGGAAGTAAGAAAACAATCAAAACACACATCATCATTATATTTACAGTTTTATTAAGTAAACTACTATTTAAATTAACACAAAATTTTTGGAAAAGTTAATTTAGTGTTGATTACAGCACTAGAGCTCGCTAACACTATCAATTGATGAACTTGAAATTATTATTCTACTTAAATATTACACCTACACAATTTAACCTTAACATTTTTTTTTATTTCTTAAAGTTTTAGAGTGACATAAACTAGGTGGTCAACTGTTTAACTTTGTTTTTGAACAAAATAAAAAACATATTAGATTTTTCAGTGAAACTCACAACAGAAGTCCTGTTACAAACTTAGTTCAATTGGAATTATTATAGCATCCATAACTTTTTTTTTAAACAGCGAATTTGGGTTTCTTTTTATTGGTGGTAAAAAAGGCCAATCATATAACACCTGAACAAGATGCGCTGCCGACTTATAATAGCTTGCGACGAATTAGACATCAAATATATATTTTCAAACTGCTGTACCTAAAAAGGAATATGCCGGTTACCATTTCATATAACTGTGAAAAAATAAAAACTTTAAGGAGGCCGTACTTACTTTAAGATTAAATTACTATACCTAAACAAATTTTAAATAATCAGGTAACAAAAGATAAAAAATAGTTTTTATTCGCTAACGTTTAAATGAGATTTCAAATTTACAACTTTCAACTATAAAATACAGTTCGCAGTGTTATTTGAAGACAAGTGTCATAGTTTGTGTTACGCAGTACATTTCACCATTCGTTTATAAGCTGTCGCCACCGCACAGCAAGTATTACAATATAAACACTGTACTCCTTTAATTTTATCAAAATCCTCAGTTTATAATTTAGCAAGTAGTTAAGACGAAATCTATTGACATTTAAAATAAGTCCATCCATGCTATGTCATATGGAATGGAGGGAGGAGGGAGATATCTTATACAACAGTCTATTAAATGTGTCCAGAAAATGACATCGGATGATATTTACAATGTTAAGAAAAACAACTCTCATTTATTTACAAAATCAAAACTATATCACTGCAAGGTAATTGAACGTGACTTTTGATGTGGCAAATGCTTAGCTAACTGCATCAGTCAGTACGCAGCATAAAGGTTGACTTTAAATTTTTTAATACTAACTTCGTCTCGAAGTTTGGCTGTCCAGAGAACTGATCACTCCACTGGAATAACCAGTCAATGCATTCACAAACGTCTTATAAAACTAAAGATCTAACGTAATAAATAAGCAGCGACAACAAATTAGGTCGAAGAATATTCAGTGACGTCATCAAGTATTTTCGACAAAAATAGTCATTTATTGTACTTTACTGCAGCGGCCAGCAAGAGCACGGCACACATGTTATATATTTTGTTATTGTATAATATAAGTATATAATATTACCAAATGCTTATATAGTACTTTTCTCAAATAATGCGCGTATTTTTTCACTAAACAGATTTCTATGTTGCCAGTTCGAAATTTAAATCGAACCTTTGACAAGTGACCTCTTTGGTCGCCATATTGCGAAGTAGACCATTGTTCCATTTTTAAATTGCACGACAGATATAGATTTTTATAACTATTGCCGGCCGCTCCTTGACCAGTACAGTAAGTTCGATTTATCTCAAAGAAGGTTGTCAAAATAATGCTCAAATTTCCAAGCATATTTGTGAAAAGAATCTATTTACTCTCCATCGACTGCTTGAGAAACAATCTCTAATGACCCATTTTCCCAACTGAATGGACTAAAATTATCCCCTGGTTTCGGAAGCTGGGTCCACAACGGCACCCAGGCGCTAGGACTGTATGACCGGCACCTCGGCGTAACTTTCCTCCTCCTCTGAAGAATGACCGCCCGCGTACGCCGGCCGGTCACTCTTCTCCCTCAGTCAGTATCTGCAAGTGTTATGAGATAGCAAAATTATTCAATATACTAAGCGATAAAATGCCCGAAACACTTATGTGCCATATGATCTCTATCTATAGTTGTATATTTTCAAAAAGTGACTTGATTACTTTGACAGACAAACTAGACTAGATGGCATAGTGCTCCAGCCATATATCTAAACAAGATGTGTCAACCTATTTTGGCTTTGGATATTTGGAAATCGAGACTGAATGACACGCATTTATCATCCAGATTACCAGAAAAGTCCAACATTTTTCAGAAAGATTACAAATGAAATAGAGACATGTTGGGCATCGGTATAGCTGATAATCAACAGGTCAAATGTTTCTAATCGAGTCATATTTATCTGAAACATATTGCACTCGTTTGGATAGTCTGAGCCGTGAAGTTTCATTGCCTTTCGGCATAAGTCTATGGATTTCAGAATGTGGAAAGCCAAAATAGGTCTAAATCGCTTCTTCTCAACTTGATGTATGACTGGTGTGAGCCCCGTGTTAGTCTGTCATAAACAAATCGGTTGTCTATAGAGTCGGTTTACTGACTATAGTTACACGACAACGTCATAAAAATTACTGATGGAATGGTTTGAATTTTCAAAAGAACATTTTATTTTATTTGTTTGATAAATATTTTTTATGGAGATAGTGACGGAGATAAATGGAAATCACAATTGAATTGATCAAGTCAAATTTATTTATATTTACAAGTATGAATGTTCTTTGAACAATTGTTTTGTTGTAATGTGGTTAGAAAGAGTCAAGTCGATGGTGGTGTTGTCTTATTAGCGTCTTGACAATTGAGATTAAACACGTCTTTCATCAATTTGAGAAGTGTTTCGTCATTTTCCACGTTCGTGTTGAAGTCGCACCAGTCGTGGTACAACGGTGTCAACTTCCATGATGGATGTACATACTGGCTGTTGTATGTGTGTATGTGAAATAGTGTTTGATGTAGCAGAATTTTGATGCTAGATATACTTGCTTCAGAACGAATATGTAGTAGGCCAAGAATATTTTAAACTTGGTGGTCAATCAGCGGTGAAGTATTATACTATACGTATATGTACTTATACTTTTGCTAAGCAAACATCAATTGATGTTGATGATGATTGACGATGAATGATTTCTAGTAATTTTTGCTTGAACTTCAATTTGATGTGAAGTACTTTGGTTATATTGCAGTTTCTGTTAATTCTGTTGCTAAAGTTTGCTGTTATTGGTCGGTAAATTGTTGTGTATCAATATCGACGGTTTTAAACCTTTGTCCTGAACGAGACGAAGATGAAGTTTTCGCTTCTAGAAAACCATTGGCAACAGCCAAGTTATTGGCTTGGCGTAATCTGTTGTTTCGATCTCTTACATTACGTGCTTCTCTTGCAGCTGCTGCCTGTTCAGGAGTTTTGGATGCAGCAATCCGCTGTCTGTACTCACGTTGTATTTGTGCTCTTGTTTTTGGAGCATTTTTCAAATCTTCCTCTGAAGATGAAGCCTCAAGAGAACTCCCAGCATCAGCCAAGTTAGTAGCTTGGCGTAATCTGTTCTTGCGCTGTCTTTCGTTTTTTGATTTCTTCGCAGCAGCCGCCTGAGCAAGAGTTCTAGACGCTGCGATTCGCTGTCTGTACTCACGTTGCTTTTGTGCTTTCGATTTATAAGGAGCGAATATTGTCTGCGCTAAAGTAGATGCTACAGCATCTTGAACTTCCATGGGTTCACTCATCGAAGGTAGCTCATTCGTAATATCTTTTGGCTCATCAGGTTGTTTTTCGATGCGATCGTAAGCGGTTCTGCAAAGTGAATCGTCGTTCGAAACAATTTTGAAAAAACTCTTCTCCCGAACGACGGGTCGCGAGCGACGGGACAAGACCGATGTCGTGGGCATCTTAAATTTATAAAGATGTAGAGGTTTGTAATAACAAATTTGGATCCCCAAAACAACTATTCTACGCGGACGAAGTCGCTGTCACAGCTAGTTGTTCATAAATCTTGATTTAAAATTTTTGTAACTTTAGCTTTTAGAAAAGCCCAATCGGCGCCAATATATGTTGCTATAAACAATAGACACCAAATTTACTTTTTACTGTACTTTATCCACGCAGACGCATCTCTCACTCAAGTAAGAGAGAGACAGATGTCGAAACGAGGAGGTCGATTGTACATCTTTGTCGCTCGTTCCCTCTCGCTTGCACTTCAAGCCTTGCAACGCCTCAGAGCGAGGTAACGACGGCCGCATGTACGCAAATATATGTTGCGTACGTGCAACCGGCTCCATCGAATTATAAGACGACACGTCAAAAGTACTATAACCCGTACCTTCTATAGGATTCGCTCTGTTCGGAGTCGGCGTATGGAGCCCAATGTGACGTCGTCGTTTCGTTCTCTTCGCGCTCACTGTTACTTGTACCTGAAGACAGATTAATTATGAAGAACTTATTGTTTTGTAGAAAATAAATATCTATTTAGATTGACAAAATAGAAATGAGGACACAGGCGAGGTGTGCGCATTATTGTTGAAATTACATGGCGCGAGAGGTACATATTACAAAATACACAATAGAAAGAAGAAATTTAACGACGTTATGTGAGGCACTTCCGCAATTTGGGTTCAAGCCGGTTCAAGTCCCAAAATTGACAAATAGCTTTTTTATTTAAGAATTTCTTTACTGTCTATTAATAACCAACTGCCAAATAATATTAAAAAGTATTCGCAAACTTATGTCTGCAGTCTATGAAAGTTAATTATAATACTATTAATCATTGAAAATGTAAAACACAACGAATATATTTCAGATCGATATTTGAAAAATCCTTTGAAACTATAATTCAAATTGGTTCAGTAAAGATAGCATATTACCCCAAGTATAAGCTTAAATGTAAAATAGGCTTGTGAAGGATTTTTTTTGTTTCTCGCATTCAACTTACAATGTGTGTCCGCGTGCGATTCGCTGACGTCAGGCGCGGGCGCAGTACGCGTCGACTGCGGGGAGGTAGGCGCGGGGGGAGAAGGGCTATCCAATGAAATCACTGCCCCACTGTTGCTCGGTGAGCGATAACCACTCGACGATACTGCTTCAGCTAGATTACAAAATATCATATATTACTATTCGATAAATGTTTTTCAGTTTAACTTAACGCTTTTCAACTCACAATTTACCAAATCCTACCTGTCGGCGATCATATATATAAAAATATTATAGATATTAAAAAAAAAAAACAGGTTTTTCTTTATTCTACACGGAATTAATTATAACTTATTTCTAAGCCAGGAAAATTGTTTTTTCCGACTATTATATTTTTTATGTTTGTCCAATATACAATGATTATAAATTGCGTTTGGTTTTTACAAGTAAAGAGCGAGTAAAAGTTTTGATCATTTGCGTGTAAGGAATTGTTTACCATATCATAAACTTATTCTGCTTTTTACATAATTATATTTATATAGTAAACGAGATCGCTAACGTGCTTATTTTTGCATTTAAAACATGTAATTAAACTTCTTTATTGATTCTAACCTCAAAACTATTTTTGACGATAATAAATTATGTTTAGGCTTTATAAAAAACTGCATCATTACCATTACTAGAGTTATAATTCTCCTCCTTAGGGGTTTGGTCAGGTAAGGGAGGAGTTGACTTAGGTGCTGGTGTCTTCCTCTTCAGAGGCAACTCATCCTCAGAGTCTGACGTGAGATCGACCAGTACTTCGGTTGATTTCGGCGTTCGATTCTCACCGACTGCCGCTTTTTTTGACGCTCCGGTGCCATCGATTGGTATAACTTCTGTTTTGAATAAAAAATATAGTTGTTAAAATTATTTTAACTACGGCCCGAAGTTTCGGATTCTTTACAGCAGTCGTGGTCACGGGGAGACAAAAGATGGAGGAAAAACTGCTACGGTAGCGCCATCTGTTACATCATACCTAGCCACCTTCGCCAAACACAGACTCCATCTTTAGTCTTAAAAGTCTTTAAAGTTTATTTAAATATATGTATATAAAAAAAAGTTTTGTGGAAGATAGAGATAATGTTGTTTAAAAAAGAGTTCATTGTGGGGTCGTCAAAGTCAAGATATCGAGGAGCCTATAAACGAAAGACGTTTCCACATGAACACACTTACCCAGCTCATCCGGAATAAGCGTGACCGGCTCGGCGGCTGGGGCAGCCTGTGGCACGTTCGGCGGAGGCGCGTGCGCAGACCAGTTGCCGTCCGCGTGTAACTGAATCTCGTTGCAATCGCTCGCTAGACGCGACGACGTTAACACTTCTTGGAAGTATCTGTAAATAATTATTTTGTTGGTATGCTTACATTCGTTATCGGTACGTTGAAAAAACTGAGTTACTGTGAAAATCGTTTCGTTTAAAATCATCTGTGCTAAGCCTTCAAACAATTAAACTTTCCAGCTTCAAATATTAGTATAGATAATAAATGAAAAAAAGGTTTGAACAAATTTGAATCTCCAAAATGACTAGGTATTCTGCGCGGACGAAGTCGGTAACACAGTTAGTCTATATATATAATATAAATTGTAATCCAATCTTACCCATCAACTACTAGCGAGTCGTACGGCGCAGGTCTATCGCAGACCGGGCAGAGCCACGTCGGTTTCCTCTCGTTCATCTGCAGGAAGAGAGATGCGTCGAAACACTGCAGGTGGGGGCAATTGGCAGGTCGGCACGGACACGACATACGCATCTTGCCCAACGGACACATTAGGGACACGCGCAGTGAGGTGGTCGCAATCTCGTTGTCGTAGTCTTCTGATAGCTTTTCTTTGACTGAAAAGTTTTATTTTTGGTAACATGGGGGCATGGAGTAGGGAAGTTCCGACAGCGCATCTTGTCTAGATGTTCTATGGCTTGGGTGATTCACCTTCCATCAAGTATGCCGTGCTTGTCTGTCAAATTGTAAGGGCAACGACTTTTAACACAACTAAAAGGACATTAAAGATAAGTTTGAAGGATTTCACTCGATCTCAGAAGTTAACCGTAGAAAGTTTTGGTAAGATAAAAGAACTGAAAGGGACAACCGTTTACTTTTAAATAAAACACTTTAACGGTTTAAATGGCGATATATTAGTTAAACTGATTTGGAAATGATTTTTAACTTTAGTTTAACTAATATATCACGTTTTAAACCGTTAAAGTGTTTTATTTAAATGTGTACTACTCGCGTAAACTATAGACAGTATTTACCCATTTACTTGATAAATTATTATAGGGCAATGGAGTAAATGTGCCTAATTAGTAATTACATAGAGCAAATTTCTTCTCGGTGTACATACACCTATTTATATAGTTGAACTCCTTATTAGGACCCCTATCAAGCATGCGCGATTTAGGGGTCCTAATAGACAAAAAAATTGACTTTAGGGAGCACATAGCAACCATTTGTAAAAAGGGATCGAAGTTGTCTGGGTTTGTTCTACGAAAAACGAAATTTTTTAACGATCCAGAAGTATCCATAATTCTATTTAATTGCTTTGTCCGAAGCGTACTAGAATATTGCAGTCCTGTTTGGAGCCCATATTATTCCATTCATATTGACAGAATAGAACGACTACAAAAAAAGTTTCTATATCATCTTTCATATGCTATGAACCTGTGCAAAACCCTTACCTCCTACGAAAAGAGACTTCAGCATTACAAACTACTTTCTCTAAAACATCGACGTGATCTAGCTGACGGTTTATTTCTATCAAAATTATTTATTAACAAAATAGATAACATCAACCTAACTAACCTAATTAACCGCTTAAATCTTTCTGTTCCCCGTGCAAGTAGTCGTATTCACAACGTATTCACTTTCGCTCTTCCGCACCGTCGAACCAATTTTGGTCAACACTCCCCTTTGCATCGTATGTGCAAACTATTTAACAATCACTTTTCAGACCTGGATATTTTTTATCACAGTACTTCCGGCCTCCGACAATTACTAAGTCTCCTTTTAGAGCACTAATATAATATTTATTTTTCAGTATCAGTTTTGTTGTTTGGTTACATTTTTATTAGTTTTAATTATTATTTACTTTGTACGATTAAACTTTATCTGCATGTCGTGTCTACATATTTATAAGCTTAATTTTTAAGATTTTTTACTTGTATAAAGCCATTTATATCATGTCTATATATTAAAGCTTAGTTTTGTAGACCTTTTAAATAAAAAAGAAAAAAAAAAAACTCAGTTGTTTCGCTCTTATTGGTCGCAGCATAACTTTATATAGCCGAAAACTTTTCTCGATAAATGGTCCAAACAACACAAAAAAAATCTATTACCAGTAATTCCTGAGATTAGCGCGTTCAAACAAAAAAAAAACGCTTCGGCTTTGCAATATTATATGGATTAAAACCTTTTTTAATATTACTTACTTAGAGATCTAGTATAATCCGGATTCTTAGTCCCCTTGTTCTTAAGCCGCTGCAGCAGTTCAGCGGACGTGAGCTTCCGAACCATGAACACGCCGACGACATAGTTCCGGGTGAAGTCGGTCCCCCACGTCACGTGTATCGTGTTGGCCACGGTGGGGGAGAGCTTCACTAGCGAGGATATGTTGACTGGCCGAGGTGGCCGCTTTGGTTCTGGCGTTGGTTTGTTTGTAGGTATTGGGTTCTGGGGAATTCGAGATAGTAGTTACAATTTGTAGCCTCTTAGTCTATCTTCCAAAAATTTAATTTCCATTGCGGTTGCTTGGAAGAGACAGCTATTTAGCTATAAATCCGCCGTTTTTCCTTAGTTTGATCAATTTTATTCTGTGTTAAGTTCTGCTTCTTGTTTTGTACAATAAAAAGATTTGTATTATATTAATAAAAAATTGATTATAAATTGAAAAAAAATACGACAAGCGCAGGACTTGAACCGGAATGAACAGCCTTCCGTGCTGATACTCTTACCAATTGAGCTACACGTCATCGTAGAATTTTTTCAACTCAATTGATACATGCACCGTATGATGCGTAATGTAATTTGTATCATATATTTTGTATATACTCACTGGCAGTGGACACATCTTATTGTTTACTTTAACATTAACACTAGGTGGGAAGTAGTCTTCTTGTTCGCATGAGGTCTCTAGCAGGCAAAACCGTAGCTGGGCCTAGTAAAGCAAAAAATAAGTAATTATTTCATATATTTTGACTTCAGACCAATATTTTTAAGATAGAATAGGCAGTTCACGTCATGAAAAGATAAATAAAAAACTACAGAGAGTGTATATATAGTGTGTAACTATGCACTTGTTTTTTAGACGTATCACATTGCATACAGATATAGCAACATATATGTACAGATTTTTCTTTATTTATTTTGTAACAGTCAACTTAGTTTACCTGGGTACGAAGCGTTTTGATTCATAATTTCGGTTAAAATGAGGCTCAGAAATCTAACTATTACTTTATAACAACTGATTAGTGTTACCCCATGCCCCACTCTGCATTAAAATTTTACTTTTTTATGTTAATTTTTCATTTATACCTGTACTACATAATCGAGTTTATTACTGCTTCCGACTATATCCTTTCCTGTGGCTATTTCTGTGGCTTGTTGTGGCGTTAAATGGAAGATGAAGGAACCCTCCTGCATCCGGCCAGGTTGTAGAGGCATCATGGTTGATGGCTTCATTAATTCAGCTAGTACATCATAGAATGGTAACCTAAAAGGAGACGAATAATTATATGGAATAATCAAACAGAACTTGATAATTTTTATTGTGTATCTATTGAAATAGCAGATAAGAAATTAAAATATAAGATGTCTTTTATGTCCTGAAAAAGTAGTAGGAAATATTAATGACTAATAGCAAGTAGGCACTTGCAATTTTTTTTAATAATAGAAAAGGACAAAAAACTGTGAAATACCCAAATATCTAAGGAGTTTTTATAGGTGTGATTTAAATATATTAAAGTAAAAAACTAACAGACTAAAAAAAATCCAATTATATCAAATCTGTATAACTATATCTAGTAGAAATGTCTAGCCGGATTATTATTATTGACTTGGAGTTATATCAACATAAAAATTATTATATCATACAATAAAAACAAAGAGTTAATTAATAGGAAGTTAAGCTTTGGAATAAACCTATTATTATTTAAAATGTGATATTACTGTAAGTAGGTGTGTACTTACTTCTTAAATTTAATATCCGGATGCACTGGAAATGGCGAGGTCAGTACCGAGGTAGGCGAAGGGGAGGGCATAGGCGCGAGGGTCGGGCCTGCGCCACCATACCCGTGGTACATGCCACCCGTGTACATTGGATTCTGGTCAAAATTTACTTGTTTACTAAAATGGTACTTACAGGTACTTACGCAACATTTATTGAGGTTCAAAATTATATTAAGGTGTATAATCCCTTTGTAAATGAACATCTATAATTTGCTGCTGCTGTTACTGCAGTTTTAGAGGTAATCTTTCAAATACTAATAACGTTTTATATTTACGTTTGGACATTTTGTACGCTTTCCTAGATTTAGTTCAAAACCTGAGATGGTCCTGACGTCATAACGTGTTAAAACCTGATTAATTTCAGAGTCTCAATTATAGGGGTAAACATTGAAAAAGTCTTAGCAACCAAATCCAAAAAATTTCAAAAATTTCAAAACGTTCAAAAAGTTATGATGAACAGGCGTAATTTAATGAAAAAGAACCAGGGCCTCATTCTCAACTCAATGATAGAGGTTTCTCATTTATCAAGGTCCCACTTAATCAGATACCTTTGTACCACATTAAGTGGTACCTACATTGGTAGCCTGTTCACTGTACATTATTAGGACAGATAAAATCCACTAACTGTAACGGGCAGGGTCTGCGCTCTAGAGTCCTGCCCTGTGCTGCCAATGTTGTAGCCGCTGACGACTGGGTGTTGGCCATACATGTTCCGGGACCCTTGCATGCCTGCTGCGAGCGGGTCTTTTCCCTGCGATCCAGTCCCCGTTGCGCCAGATTGTATGGCTTGACTGTTCCTGCAATTAGACCATAATGTGATATGAAATTCGGTCAAAGAAACAACTTAGCGTTGTCTCTTTCCCAAATTTCCCTATAAAGAAGAAAGACAAAAAAGGCTTTTTTTTTGTTAACTAAACTGACGATACTTAAATTGTGTGCAAGTTTTCTCTATTAACTCGTGTAAGTACAGCATATAAGTATGTAGATAAATAATGATCACAATGAAATTATTGTGTGTGAAACCCCGTTTCCCCCTCGTGGAGCATGGGGCAAACACATTTTTGTGTCCGTTTCACAGATCCGTTTTTTAACAGGCAATTTTCGTTTCCCTGGATCCCAGGATCTCTCGCGCTTAACGCAATGCGTTTAACCATAATTAAGTTATTAATAAATTTAAAAACTTTTTCTCTTGATATAAGTGTCAAATTTTATAAAATCTTTGACTAAGTGAAAAACTATGCTAATACAACAGAAAGTACTTGTAAACACTGCTGCAATAATATGCTTACTGAAAAACATATCAAATTACAATTACAAACTGATCAAACATAACGCTATGGTATCACCAAAGTACAGACAAAAAATGGTATTACTTATTTTATTATATTATTACTAGGGTAATAGAACCCACCACCACAAACATTCATGCAAGCTCTGACATCATAGCTCTAAGATTTACCTATCTGTAAACAACTCACACAAAAAGAGATAGAAAGACTCAATTAATATTTTAATTACAGCAGTTGTTACTAAATTCACCTATTTTATAAGCATATAATTTGTCTTGTAAAAACTAAATAGATAATTAAAGAAAACTTGTCGCCCCACACATAAGTAAAAATCATAGACCACATAATAGTATCTTCTGGTAAGCAATTTGAACGCACTCACTAGTACATAAGAACCTATGGCTCTCAGTTAATACATACACATTGCTTAATACCCCCCCGCATCAACCTTACAGACTGGAGGTCATAAGACAATTCATACCGACAGAATTGTAGCATAATCACAAATTAATTGAAAACTTGCCTATATCCTCTACTTCTGTTTCTGTCAGAGGAGGTTCCATTTGTGGTTGTCGAACTCTGAGCGGTGCTCCCTACCCTCGCCGAAGACCTTGTTTTAACCATTGTTGACCAAGTTTTTACATGTCAACTGAAATGAGGAGTCCATAATGGACAGACAACAATGTAGTAACAGCTTAAGGCAGAACTCTGGAAAACTTCATTGGCTTGCGAAAACCGATTCCTTATTTCTCTTACCGATGTGAAACCGCAGGGACTAAGGGAGATATGAACGGCTGGAACTGATTACCCATTTAAGTCTACAATGGTTAAAACATGTCTTGCAGCTTGAAAGACAAACCGCAGTAAGAAAAAAAAGAAGAGATAAACGATGTTTTATAATATTGGCAGTCCTTTTGGTATAGAAAATGGTAAATTATTCCACTGCAGCTGTGAAGCTGGGGAGAAAAATTATGTTAAAGATTCTTAAATATACATTCAGGATAATTGCAGGGCGGAAAGCTTTTCAGTAAGAGAAATAAGTTGAATGTCTTGTCCAAGGAAATTTCCCAGAAATGCACAGTCATATATAAGTACAAATGAAATTAGTCAATTGGTACTACTTGTGTTACGAGGGACATAAGATAGGACCACCACTACTATATGAAAATAAAAATATAACCATCAACTTTTATATGTTGCCTGTACCACGAGAAACTTATCTAGCAATTATGAACTGTTTCAAAGCAAAATATCTAATGGGTTAAACAATAAAATAATAGAGAAAGTTAGTATTTTTAGCTGCCTATCTACTTTGATTACTAACAATGCGGTGATAATAAATTCTAAAAATGTAGGTATTGTATAATGAAGGAGGAAAAATTATACCTTTATTTCAAATGTTTAATCACTAAAGTATAGACAAGAACTTTATAATGTAGATTGTTCATTCACGTCATTGTATTATACATAACAGTTAAAGGTTTTACAAATTTAAGTTGTAGTTTAATGACATCTAACAACAAGCTGTTGACGTTGTTTGGGTTTCTATGGACAAAGTAAGTACCTTGTTTAAACTATATTTTTACAAGCAATGAATATGAAATAAAATAATATTGTGAACTTGACCTCATTTTTATCTAACACCACCATTTTTTTTTAATAATACATACTTGTTTAATAAATTTATAAAGTATAAAGAAATATCTTGCTTTATTAGGTAGGTATGGAGGTTTTTTTTTATAAATTTATAAAATTACTAAGTTGGTACTTAAAGGTAGATCATACAACAGGTTGGTAAAAACAAAAGTATATTGTTGTTTCATTACCAGAAATGTATGTTTTTGTTCCTTCATTATTACAACTTCAAAAACTAAGTCAGAGCTTAAGATTTTTGACTGTAACAGACACATCACGATTCGTGTATGAATGGAATCGTTGCATCTAGTTACCACGTTTGTTATGATAAATATTTACCGGCATCTAAAAATTACTTTTTGTTCATATGCTTAACTACACCTTATGAAACTAACAGTTTTAAACGTGTAAACAATCGATTAATAGTAGTTTATATTAGGGCAAATACAATTTCGAACGGTATGGTTCTAGGCTTTAACTAAGTTCACTTACCATGATATCGCATTACTATAGTCGTAATAACGACTCATAATTTTTAATGTTATTGTAAAAATTAATTTCTTCTGATTAACGTCTTTCACATAACGCCATAACGTGACGATTTGTCAGTAGGACAAACGCTTGCTTACTATCCGCCACATTGGTTTGAGCATAGACAAGCTCATATGTTGAGACCATCAATGAAGTGCTTCTTAAAAATCTTATTCAGTGAGTAGTAACTACGTTTTGCTTAGTGAAAACAAATTTAATTTCAGTTTTTAACACTATAGGATATATATCTAATTCTGTGAGTTAGCTAAGACGCTGTATCTTTACATTTTACTATTAATGTTAAATTAATGATTTTCATAGACAATAAATATTAATTGCCGTTCTACGCTGTTTCCTTTTCCTGTGATAGGGCTGTACAAAATATTTACTAGCTAATTTTGTACGATTGGATATTATTTCAGTTTACATAGATGCGAGAACAAACAGGCACCAATATTATCTATTTTACTTGAGTTATATATTTTATTGGACATAATTTTGATTACAACGTGTAAAATCTATGTTATATTGTAATACAAGCTGCAATATTTTAGTAAAACTATCCGATATTTTAAATCAAATGTCAATCTTTTTAATTAAAGTTTAATTTAAACCTGGTAAATAGTACATTGAAAAATATGTTAATAAAAAGAGTTATACTATGACAACGTTACAATTTAAACTAATTGTAAATGGCATACAAAGAAAACATATTTTATGTCATAACCTTTTCCCCTGGTGTAGGGCTGACCATACCTAGAAACCGTTCTACATTGCTCTATTGAATTTCAGCATGTGTATGGATTCTGAGAACACCAGTTTGACCACAATGGAGATACCTGAATACCACGTGTTTTTAGACGTAAGCGATGTATGTCTAACCTTGCGTGGACAGGTCGAGTTGCCCCTTCTGCTCTGTCTGACCATAACCTCTCTGCCAAAGCAGCTGCCCTTGGCCAAACTCTTGAGTCTAAACCATCTGTACTTAACGTGGAAGACCAGACGGTTGCTTCACCGCCTTCCACATATTTAATATCTTTTCTTGCCCAGGGTCTATGTTCGTAAACGCGTTGCCATGAGTTGTAATTTGAACTCCCCGTTTCTTCATACCACTTACTGTAACCGTTATTGATGTCCCATGCATCTTGATGAGATATAATTGTGCGTAAACCACTTATGTACTTTTGAGTCGACGCCAGGTCGCGAGCTTGTAAACCAAGCTTATGTAAGAAAGGCTTCAAGTCAAGCTTAACGCGTTCACTCATCTGAGTAGACCACATTATAGTAAGATTTGGTAACTTTCCATTCGCTGCTTCTAACCGCTGCAATGCGTTTGTTGTAAAAACTACCCAAAGATCCATGGGATCAGTAGTGTTGAACTCTTCGGCCCAGCAACGTTGAGAAACATCATCGTTACCTATATGGAACATGTCATCGACACCAGTAAGCTGCATTATTTCTGCGTATAGCTTCAACATAACATGGTATACTTCAACGTTTCTGGGATTCAATTGACCACAAGGAGGTTCATTACAATACTCTATCCACGGTTTATTATCCAAGCAGAGAACCTTTTCCGCCGAATGCTTGTCACCCCAGTCCCACGCTTTACCCACATGAGCTGGGAGATCTACTTCAAGCAATACACGTATTCCTCGCAATCTGGCGTAATGTGATACAGTACGAATGTCCTCAGTGGTGTAAATAGCACCAGGACCATACGCGCCATAACGCGACAGCTGTGGCAAGCTGTCAAACTCGACTGGAAACGATTGAGAATCAGTTGCATGCCAATGAAATGTATTGAGTTTGCATGAAGCCATACCATCAATTGTCTGAAGCAAATCACTCACGGGAAAGTAATTTCGCGCAGTGTCTAACATCAGGCCGCGGTACCTAAAACGAGGTACGTCATCAACATTAGCGGCTTCCAACATAAACAGAGAGCCAGCATATAAATCGAACCAGATGATTTGAGAAAGAGTTTCGAAGGCATGTCGAACTCCGCAAAATGAATTGGCGTATACATCCATCTGCAGTGACCTTGTAGTGCCATTTTTTGGCCTTAGTGAAAATCTGTAGCTTTCATCTGTATCTAGGCGTAGTCTGGGGTCACCTTGACCGCTCTCATTGACAGCGACGCGTACATCAACAGCCTGCCATTCTTCAAAGTTTCGTGAGCCCCGCTCCATCTTACGAAGAACTCCTTGAAATATATCAAACGCTTCAAAGATGTGCTCTCGGACGGGTCTTGATGGAAAGGTAAGGATTTGTAAGTGAAATAGGTCAGCGCGTACCGGAACAGCGGTTGTCGAGAGGCTGACGTGTCCTGTGGGCTGTGGCCAAAGGGTCATGGAGGCGCAGAGCATGTTGCATGTCATTAGGGATTGGAGCTTGCCGTCTAATGTCGCTCTATTTGGGACGCATTTATCATTAACGCACTCCCACGTCCATTGTGGCAAGTTTTGTCTAGAAAGAAAAGTACTTTCAAAATTTATAAGAAAAGATTCAATTGTTTATAAACCAATTTTTATTTGTCCATAAGAAGTCGTGTCTAATTTTAACACATCTAGCAGAGTATTGTCTGTAGATTATGATAGTAGTCGATTTAAAAGTTAAATATATAAGTGAGATACCATTTTGATGTATTTTAACTAAGACCCGACGTTTCGTACACACATTTAAAACGAACTTAACTTACTTTCATGATTTATGATTTAATACAATTTACATAAACGAAGTTCAAAGTATACATTTAAATAAAACACTTTAACTGTGTTCACGGGGAGGCTGCTGCAAAGCATCCGAAACGTTGAGACGAAGTTTTTAAAAAAAATTGGTTTAACTAATATATATCGCGTTAAAACCGTTCAATTATTTTATTTAGTTAATAAGCAGAGAAACAAACTCCTGGCTTTTGCAGGAGAAGTTGTGCTTAACATATACAGTAAGGACTATATACTACTATATTATCTAACAGAAAATGGCTAAAATTAAAATAATAATTACGTTGAGAATGTGTTCACGATTGTTATAGTGAGAAATGATACGCCAAGAGTGAGGTATTTTTTACTGGACATCGAATTTTTATTTGCGTCATAAACTAATTCCATATTTTTTTATTATTTGTTTTTCACATTTTTTAAAGTTTAAATTGAAGCACAACTTTATAAAAGCTTTATAAAAGAAAATTGTATAATAATAGCGCTACTATTATGACACTAACGTCTCTACATAAGACAGATATTTTAACATAATATAGTTTAAACAAAAGTGGATAGAATAGACCAAAGAAAATACATTAAATGCCTATTGTCTCTGGTTTTTATGCAAAGCTATGTTTAAGCGGGGGTGATTCAATCAGAAGCTATTGGGTATCATTGTAACATTTATTTTAAATGCTGTCAGTTTACGCAAGTAGTATCTATACATTCCAATAAAAGACAAACGCGAAATATATTAGTTAAACTTGCTTACAAATTATTTTTAACTAGGGCTCGACGTTTCGGACCGTGCCGTGATCACGGGTAGGAAAATAGTTTGTACACTAGTTTCACTATTTCAAGTTATCAACCGTTTCAAAGTGTTTTATTTACATTTATTGCAGATGAAACAAATTTATGACATGGGCGAGACATCGACCAACTGCGATCCCCTACTGATGCTCGTCAAATGTACGTACGATACTCAGTTAATATGAAGTTGTGTCTCAGGTTTAGTAATATTAAGTATTTCAAATTCAATTTATTGGTAAAAATAAAAATATACTTAGTAACTAAATCATTTATTAATAAACTAATAACATTTCAATAGAATTCAACATTATTAACAGCTTTCAACGAGAGAATTCTCACGTATATCAAATATCCACAAAGTGCGACGCCCACGACAAATGACGTGAGGCCGAAAATTATGATAGCGATATCTTTAACCAGATAGATTTTGCGATAACCATAATTATCTGGATACAGGATGCAGAGTTCCATCATGGCTGGAAACACGAAGGCGAGCAATGTGGTGCAAAGGTTACCCACGAAGGCTACGAACGCGCCTTGGATTGGTATCATGTAGCAAATAAAAACTGTAGAAAAAATACAGTAAAGGTAATAATAGGAGCAAAAATTTAAAGTCAAATGCTAGGAAGTGATAAATTTCCTCTCTCAGAGAAGAGATGATTAAGAGTTTGGAAACGTTCAAGAGATCGTAGAAGAGGTTTAGATGTGATTTTGATGAAGTGTAATAACTAGTGTTGCGCCGAGTAACAAGTTCATTTCGCGCGCGTAAGCAAGTACAAACAGATACTGTCTATAGTTTACGCGAGTAGTACACATTTAAATAAAACACTTCAACGGTTTAAAACGCGATATATTAGTTAAACTTATTAGAAAATGATTTTTAACTTCGGCCCTACGTTTCGGATGCTTTTCAGCAGCCGTGGACACGGGGAGATATTTTCGAATAAGTTATAATATATCGCGTTTTAAACCGTTAAAGTGTTTTATTTAAAGTACAAACAGGTTCGCGCCGGTCAAGACGTCGGCTTGCTCTCATATTCTTCTTGTAACTTTGTCGCATTACTATTCATTCATTAGCATAATTTTGATTATATTAATTGAGATTTTCCAAGATTTTTATCAAATAACAAAGTGTAACCGAGTTATTCGGCCGAGCACGAGTATCAACCGGGTACTCGGCCCATCTCTAGTAGTAACCTAACTGGGCTGTCGAGTTCAATTAATTGTATTTATGTAATATACATAAATTATTTTTTTTACGAGTTCAATGGTCTTATAGCAATGTATGATTAATTATCAACCCATAGTTTCGACGTATACCGGCTCCAACATGTATCTAATTTTCCGGAAATAATGTTGTTTCTAAATCAGTGGTATTCCTTCCTACCACTCATTTAGAACCATTTAGATCGATACCCAAAGCTAAAATAGGTCGACAGTTTGTTGTGATTTTGTATGACTGTTGTTTCCTTTCTGTTGTTGTTGTTTCTTTTGTATGACTTTCCACAAGTGAACCTCTTTCCTCGTTTATCATAGTAAAAGTAAAGTTACGAATTAAATTACAGTTAGTAGTTAATAAGGAGCGATATTCTTTCTCTATTCCATAGTTCGACTTCGCTACAGAGGGGAAAAAAATCATACACGAAGTCATAACGAAGAGAGGTCGTGCCGTAGTCTCGATAGTCTTCAGCAGCTCATCAGATGGTGTACTTTGAGGGTTCCAATTCTTGATAACATCCACTATCATAGCGATGGCTGGGTAACACTGTATCGGGTAGGCGAAAGCTATGGCTATGAGGTATAAGCCTATGGCTGCCATAGCTGAACTAAGAAACACAGAATAAAAGTTGAAATTACATTGGGCGAGAAGTACATGTAACAGTAGGTTGAAAAAAGTCAACAATGACACGGTGGCGCAATAGGTTATAGCAGTTGCACGGAACGCTATGGTTTATGCCCCACCTGTGTAACTTTTATTTCTATAATACATAGATTTTTAATTTTTCATATAACATACATAATAGAACATAACATAACCTAGACTCCTACAAGATCGGTATATCAGAATTATTTGGTAGGAACTTCGAATTTAGTTTAGTTTTTTTCATTGGGGACATCGATAGAAATGTGATCAGTCCATACTATCAACTGACTATTTCACCCATTTCCCCACTTCCTTCCTAGAGAGGACTTAGAGTCTTAGGTGATCTTTACAAAATTAATTCTAGTTTCAAAAACCAAGTCCTCCATACTAATCATCGAAGGGCAGCGATCGCAACACGTTCTCCTCCATCATGCCAAAAGACCAATATCCTAGTACACCGAAAACGGTTGTGAAGACTGTTGGTATGAACATTCCCACCGTTAACATTCCGCACGGTTGCGTCAAAACTTTTGGATTTTTCAGCGCTTTGTCAAGGGACAATATCTGGAATAATTTATAGCATTAGATTGACGCCTTTTTGTATAGTCTTAAGTTAACTTTATCTATAAATACTGGGTCATAAGTGGTATGTACATATTTAATCTAACTTAGCTTTATATAACATTGCATTTATAAATAGCTTTTTGAATATCACAGATTATACCTAAGAATCATTTCGACTAAGTGTTCCCTCATAAGTACAAATACATAATGTTATTATATTTTGATTTATGTTTCAGACAAACATAAATAATTTTTCATTGATATTGTCACATTTGATTTCAAAGATAAGATCATAATATTTTGCAATCATACGAAACGAATAAGTGCCGGCGCGGGCGCATCTTTTAATGGCCCTTTAAAAAGCAGTGCAACTAAAAAGACCTTATAATCTGAGCGAATGGCTTTTGGAAAATCAATAGTTAAACATTTGTAAAAATATTGGTTTCCTTACAATATTAATTTCATTAAACGTAAGTATAAGTGAGCTGTGAATTTTTTTACCGTACTGTAAAGTAGTTATCTACTTAAGTTTAGTAAACCTTATTTACGGTTACTTTACTTTGCTTAAGGTGTTAGGAGTTAGGAGACAACAAGGTGTTAGGAGACTAATGAACTTACAACAGCAACTGCGCTCAAGTTGAACAAGCAAGTGCCAATAACGAAAAATAAAGCCAATGGATCGGTGGACGCCAACAGAACAACGCCGTGAGGTGCTAAGAATATGTGATATATTATCAGTGCGAGACCCGCCATGTTCAAGTAATTACCTAAAATGATAAGAACTTATTAATTATTGTTTACTTTAAGCGTACAAAATAAAAAAAGCAAACCTCAGGATACTTAATGCTTGATAAAGTACAATTATAATTATTAGATTTTCGGTATTTAATAAATAAGTTAATATAAATACTTTTAACGGTTTGAAACGGGAAAATATTAGTTAACTATACCAGCTGCGGCTTTTATTATAAATCCGTCGGGGGTAGTTTAAAAATTAATTAATATGAGTATTTTGCATTTAAACTGTTAAAATATTTAGCTTAACTATTATTTTAGTCAAATATTTTTTTAATTAAACTAATAATGAATATTATTTACCTAGCATAGATATATAGCTTACAATGGAAAGGGTCTTCATAAAATGCTCTAAAAGCAAGTACGGTATGAGGAGAGACCATATCGCCGGCTTTGAGGTTTTCCAATCCATGATCTGTCGTATAAGTAAAATACTTTGAACGGTTTAATACGCGAATATATTAGTTTGCTAATATAGTTTGTAAATTTTGTCTAATGTATTTCGCTTTTTAAACCTATTAGGTGTTGTAAGTATTTAAATGACGTGTACTACTTGCGTAAAATACAGATAATACCTACTTAGATATTGCAGTTAACAAAAACTTTATATTATTTATTGTCTATCAATGGGGCATAGTTATGCACTTTAGGTAATAAAATACTTATCTCTGAATCTTAATAAATTAATTAAAAGTCGATTATTACAAAATGATCCTTGTTTTGTTTGTACAACTGTGTGTTTGCTGTGTAATATCCAACACATTTAGTGTGGGTTCGAAAACCATAGACTCAAAAATGAGAATCTCTACAATTCACAGCTCCTATAGAAAGCCTTTACAGATTAGGACAAGATTTAGAAAATGGGAATCGAATCCAGGTTATGTTGATTAGGTATGATTACGTAGGTATTGTTACACCTGTGACAACTATATCCAGTACTTACCACAATGAACTACCACACAGTACCACTAATGAACAGACTTACATCTCTCAAGCTATCCGTCGTAAATATAACAAAAACAGTACAAATCCCAATTTGACTGAGCAACATGAATATAGATATAATTGTCCTGTAAATAATTTCAATTAAATAGGTATATTTCTAAAATATTAAAATTTCCACCCGTTGGCGTAATGGTTGCAATGTATGTTGCAATGGTTGCTAATAATCATCAGGTCGTGGTTTCGATCACGAGCGGGTCCAGGATTTTTCAAATCTATTTATTATTTTTCTGTTGTTCTATCGATATTTAATCGGTGGCAGGAATATCAAAATGGCATCCGGGCCACGACGAAACAGCCGTCAAGTTTATTTGGCTTTGGATATTCAATGCTAAGGCATGTAGGTTGAGGATATACTTACGGCCCTTTGCGTCCAATCGGGTGGAAAATACTTGGCCCGTGTAACAGAGCAATGCGAAAGCCGAATCTATATGAAATGTGCGGAATTTTCAATTGACGACTTATTTCATTAAGGCACCACAACTGAAATGTTTTGTTTCCGTGAGCTAAAACGTTTAACGCACGAGTAATATGAAAAGATAAACCCGTCAAGTGTGAGTTGAAAAGTTGGACGAAAGTTACGTATGTTTAACTAGCTAAATATTTTAATGGTACCTTATTTAGTTGCCCTACGTCTATCTGCCTACCGGTTGTCATTTATTGATGATGACTATAATATATATAATAATTATTAAATTGTAAAATAAAAAATTTACTACGTACGTATAATTTTAATATATCAAGTACCGAAATTGCCGCTATTGATATAGAACAAACAGAGATACACCATAAATTGTTTGACTTTTGTAAGACATGAATTGAATTTAATGACTTAAGGAGCTATTCAGCTCACTGCTAATACTTCAGAGTCAGGTCATACAGAACAGAACAAACGGAGTAAGGTAAAATATGAAATAGAAGAACGATGAAATCTAACCAGCGTCAAATGCATGTGGATGATGAGAAGTCCTAAGGCTGTGGTCATGATTGGTCCTAATATGATCCCAGCTTGACTGACAGCTAACGGCAATCCTAACACTCCTGCACCCCATAACGTTCGCATGAGGTTAAAGTATGCCATCCATGGCCTAGAATAATATAATTTCAGTAAAAGAAATGCTGTGGTTTTGTACTCCGTCATCAATAAAAGATAATGTAGAGATCAATAAAACAAAAGAGCATAAAACCAAATATAATCAATAATCTCGATTCTAAAATAATATCAACTTCAATCTCTTAGAAATTTTCATGGCAAGACGTAACAACCACTCTAAAAGACCCGAGTATGTCATAGATACTAAATAAATTAAAAATCGATCATACATATACATAGATATTAAAAAAAAATCTACGACACGGACAGGACTTGAATCGACATCCATAGCGTTCCGTGCTTTGTTCTAACCCATTGAGCTACCGTGTCCTATACGTCATGGTCGAATTTACCAACCAATAGGTATATGCACCGTGAGTCTAGAATATTTTCGATGTTTCGATGATAATAGCGAGATACGTGCTTTATTGGTGCCTTTGGTTCCCTATAATCTCTAGGATCGAATCCGTCGTCTGGTGGCCTTTCAGTTGGAAGTTGAGTAAATCTGAAGTCTATAACTGATTGTCTATCATGTGCTTGTATGGAAGTTTTACTCACAGCTTCGAAAGCCGCCCTGAAATAAAATAAAATTTTAGTGAAGTAAACTTCGCGAGAAGATATTAACTTGTATTATTAAGTAAAAATATACATAGAACATGTAATTATTATATTATAGTTTTAGAAAAACTACGTAGCTAAAACTTTTAATTATGCTTTATTATTTGGCAATAAAAGTCAAATATTATCTGTGTTAATTAATAACAGTATAGACCAAGAATGAAAACAAGAAAATTGTTTACTTGTTCTATATATAGTTGTAGTATATCAATTCTAGACAGTATGTAATCTATCACTTGTCATTGTTAATAAATACAACTGTCAAGTGTCATACATGAAAATTGAAATGTCAATGACATTGTAAGCCGCTAGTGAAAACTGAAAACGGGAACTTGTTAAAGAATTTGGGATTTCTACGTTATTGTTACAAAACAAAAGTGTCGTTTGATTAAAAGAGAGTCTTCCTATGTTTTTACAAAATACATTAATTTCAAATTTTGTATGATGATGTCAACTACAGAGGGAGAATTAGACGTCGAAATAGCTCAAGAAAAGGAAGATGGCGAGGTTGGAACATTACGATTTCTTAATTATTATTTATTGAACCGACAGAGAGTGTAATTGTAAATCCAAGTGAAAAGAGCCTTTGTGTTTAATTCACCTAACATATAATAGCAGAGCTATGTAGATCAACAGTATAATGGGATATAATTATGCGTCTAAGTGTCGTAATTGTGTCACAGTTTTATATGTACGTAAAACCTGCATATCATTGTTTTAGTTGGACGATTCAGATGTTGAAGAAGGGACTTATATCCCGCTGGAGCGGCCGGAGGCGTTTAACCCACCTTCATTGGTGAATATGCAAATACAGGACGAACAAAGTGATGAAGCTTCTCTTGCTGAATCCTCGGGGTCTGAATCTGATGAAGAGTTAAGAAGGCGACCAAAGCGCACCAAAGTGAGGCCGCGACGCCCTCAACAGCAGCCAGCACGCAATAACAAATACAATATATGGTGCGAAGCATTACAGGTACTTTGTTGGTTTTATCATAACAATAGTATGAAACAGACTATGCTAGGAGTATTTTTATGTAAAAAATAATTTCTTTTCATAACATCAATCTCTTTATATATTTTTATATATAGTATGAAAATACCACTATACAATTTCTGCATTCTTTTTTCCAGGAAGACCTTTTGACACAAGACATGGGCACTTGTGATGTTTCAAAGAAAAGCAGATATGGCGTTGAATCTTATGATTACACTATTAAGTATAGGCTAGATGATAATTATATTTCTAAAAAAGTATTTTCTAGTAATGAACACAACCAGACAAATAAGAGAAGGTTTTCAGATAGGTCTAATGTTAAGTTAAGGCTAGGGAAGAGGGTGAATAGTCACCAACCTACGAAAGAGAAGCAGGAACCTAGGATATTACCAGATCTTGTTGTAACTACGGAAGATAGCATTGAGAATATTGCTACTGATATTGCTGAAAAACTAACAGAAGAAAAGAAAGATTTAATTGGTATGTGTGTGTCAATTGTTTCTATCTCTCCATGTTTGTATCCTCGTGATGCCTAATAAAATGCATGTGGACTTTCCAGCTAGGATTGTAGGAGTGCTGGGTGCAAATATAGCCATTGAAATTTATACAGAGACACAAACAGTCGAAGCAGATGGTGGAATGCTGGTCATGGTATGATGTGTTTAATATATAAAGTTAGTGACCATGAGATAAAAATATTCTACAGCTACAGTACCAAAATCAAAAATAGTGATTTACGCTTTAAAAACAACCTTATATTTATCTTAATCATAAAATAAAACTATTTAATTTTATTCAATTTATAATAAATTTACCGACCATTTATCTATATGTAGTACACACTGTACTACATATTTTGTTTTTGTTTTATACACAAAAATTGACTTTAACATTATATTCTTCAATAAATTATATTTTAGAATGGTACCCGTCGCCGCACACCCGGCGGTGTATACTTCTTTCTGTTGAAGAGGCATAATGATGTAACCCAAGCAATGATCAATAACATATTCAATGAAGACCGTAAAGAAACAGCCAGAAAGATTAAGAAAACTCGCGCCAAAAGCCGTCAAAAAGTCATGGAACAATTGAAACAGAGTCTAACAGGTAAGTTGTCCTACACATATACTTTTTATATGATTTTTCTTTTTGTACTACATAATCATAAAATAGTTTTACTAAAAATGCAACTGTTTACCAGAAACATTAAGGATTTGTGATGTAAGATCCTACATATCACTGAACTATGTTTCTGTTCATATTTATTTTCAATGCATCAGCAATTGTACGCAGAATTTATTCTGCTTTAATTAAATATTGTTTTGCATTAGCGAAAAATAATTATTACAATGTATGCTTTACAATAATATAACTGAATGCCAGCGAACGCAAGTTCTCTATTTTTTTAAGACACTATACAAATTGTAGATTCAGAACTACCCTCACTTCTGTCACGAGGAGAAGCCACAGTTCAGACTGAACATGGTTCCAACCCACCCCCGTCGCCCGCTACAGATGCGCGCGAGTGTTCCAGCGACACTGATGCTCAGTCTCACACAGAACAAGAGCCATCGCCGGCGAGGCCTCTATCACCCCTTCCAACTAGAACCATACAGGACTATGATGATGACGATGATTGCCTCGAAGTGATGTGTAATGATGAAATGGACCTTTTTTGAAATGTTAATTGAACTGCGTAATGTGTTCCCCAGGTTTAAATTACTATGTCAAACACAACCAGAAAGAGGCCAATAAAACGTGTTGTACAAGATGAAGGAAGTTTAGGGTTTGAAAATTAGGAAGCAGCTTAAATGTCTTGAGTGGTTATTTCTAGGGTTGAAAGAGTTCGTATATACTTATACCGTATTTACATAGAATTTGGTTTATTCTATGTAAATAGTTGGAAAGAAAATAAACGTTTGAATATTTGTAATTCAAAACCATATAAATTCAGAAGGGGTTTAAGAAGGATGAAATTTTGATTCAAGATGAAACAGCATTGAATGTTAACAGCGAATGTTGTCAGACATTTTTTATTGAATATAGATAGACACTGAGGTGTTTTTATTGGAGATTAGTCCCTGTTTTATACTACCAAGAATGGGTGTAAGTGTTACGACATTCATAAAACTTTTAGTTGTGTTAGTATCTTTATGCATTCAGACATAAAAAATTATGTCCATGCCAGCAACAGCCCTAGTTTTAGTCAACTTGTGGTATTTAATAAACTAGGGCCTTACTAAGAAACAGACGAATCACAGCTTGCCAGTAAAGAACGAAGTTTATTTGTATGCAAGACATTAAGGGGTCTAAGAATATTTGAATGTACCATGCTAGTGTGCAACTAGAGGGCTGTGACTTTTGTACTACGGCCCAAATGCCTTAGAGACTAACTAAATGTTCAAGTGCTATTAACTGTACTTTGTTACATATACCAAGAGTTACTGAAATTAAATTTTTTAAAGCAATTGATGGAATGTTTATTACTTAGAATGCGAAATATATTATAAGAATATCGACTTCCATAAAATTTGCCTTTTATTTGCATACACGAGAAAATATAAGTAGTGTACTTTTTTGTTGCTTCTATTATTGCACAAATATTGTGTTTATGTTATTTTTTTAAATAAGCATCTTTGTGTACCTTAATTATAATATACCACCAGGTAGATGTTTGTGTTGCAATAGGCAATATTGAAGAGTAAAAGATTTTTATATACTACAGTTATTTCCCCATTCCATGTCATTGTAAAGTATTAAAATTTGATTTTCAGAAAACAGCATTCATTATTCGGGACATTATTATCTTGATGTCGTAAATGACACACTTTTTAACGGTCCTGACCTTACTTATATAGTTTGTTTTAAACCTTACAAAAATGGTCTTATTTAATGTGTCACTCCTATAAACAACAAATACTACTAGGGTTAAGAAAGATGTTTGGTTGTCATTATTAATAAATGTTTCTCTAGCGATGATTCGGCTGAACAGCTTGAAACCCAAGTAACTTTACAAAAAAGCCTTATCTGCCTGTAACATTAAACTACCCTACTAACATTTCTTTTAATTTATAGCTGTTACACAATTTAGACAATAATTTTTTGGATCAATTCATATATGTAAAGTTGTAGCTCAGTATAAAAACAGACTAGAAGCAGTCAATAAATGATTGACTATCCAGTCTGTCAATTGGTTACTTCAATTTGCAAGAGAGCTAAAATCTAGTATTAATATTTTTATTTAGTACTAGTTGCTTTTTCATAAATATTTTTAGTAAATTATTTACTTTACAATCAAGGGCATTATTATTTTCGCCAAATACGCAAGATGTGTTTTCATTACGTTTTGCTTTATTCAATCAATAATTAAGGACGGCTTTCAATGAATTGCTGATTTAAATTGTTGTAGGATTTAAAATGAGAAAGTTTATCATGTTGTAAGCAAGACTATTAGATATATAAGTAAGTAGGGACTTGTATGTACCAAATCTGTGCAGTTAACAACTTGTCAAGAATATTTTTACAAGTATTCACTGTTGGTGTAGTTTATGTACATAATGATAGGGCAATATTTGTATTATTAAAGTTTTTTAGGAAACATGTAGTACTTAGTTTTATTTTACTTGTAAATAATGTTAATCAATTTGGTATTATCAAAGACAAACAGATAAAAAGCTGTGGAGTTTATTCCAATTTTGGTTTCAGTCTGTGGATTTCAGAATATCTAAAGCCAAGGTGGATCTCCTCTATCATAAAAAAACACAGAAATATAAGGCTTCAACAATAGACATAATAAAACAAAATAATATGTTAAAAGAAATACACATTTATTTTCAACAAATACTTTTAAAAATACTTTTTGGTTACAAAAATATTCCCAAATAAAATAGGTGGGTTCAGATCACATGCTTGCCCAGATGTGGTATGTATGAGGAATACCAATTGTTACTAAGCAATTTAAAACACTAGAGGTTTCATTGAAAATCCAACATCTGAAAATGTTAAAGAATAAATAATTCACAGTGCGGACGTTTCTACTCAAGATAAATGGTATTTCGAATCATAGTGTAACAGTAGTAAACGGAATAGTGCGTGCTAGTCCTGCCTATCCTTTAAAAAAAATTAACTGTAAAGAAATTGAAGTATTCAACTGTTAAAGAAATATTCATTAAACAAATGATTAAAATTATATTACTAACCAACTGTGGCAAACATTTTTCTACATGCTCAATTTCAACTTTGTCACTATTCTCCTTGACCGCTTGGCTGGCTGCCCTCAAGCAAGTTTCCGTAACGAGGCACTTGGCCACTTCAACTACGAGCGTTAAGGCATCGTTACCGAGTTTGGTTTTATTGTCTTGAAATGATCCATGTAAAAGCTCTTTAATAATTTCCTTCAATAAACCGAAAATTAGTTTTTGCCTTCAAATATAAGTAAATAATTAACTAAATTACTAGCACCTGTTTAATGCAACTTTTAACGTTCGAAACTATGGACGCCGGATCGATATTTCCATCGTCGTTTTCATTACTGTTACGAGCCATTTTGCTGAGAAAATCCGGATCTTACAAATGGAAACTGGTCTAAGATCTAAACTCACTTTAAAATTTACGTTATTAAAAAAAAAGTTAAAGATCTCGGTAACTCGACTCGAATATATCTTTGAAAATAAACAAAACAAATCTATTCTTATTTGACGTTCAGTTTTAGCCGATGTGACATTGTGTCACTGTCATGGGTATCCTGTTTTTATCTGTGTATAAAAAGATAGATATGCTAATTTGACAGGTAAAATAAACATGTTAGTTATCCATAAATTAATTCAATTCATTCAGAACAAGAATTCGTAACAGATAATAAACTCTATCTCTGACATCGTGCAAAGATCTATCTTCTAGGAAATCCGCGATCGTTTGCGGAATGTTCTTCTCTTCAATGAAATCTATTACTGATTTGCCTTTTCTCTCTTGTGGAGTGAGATGTTGTTGAAGAATTTCAAGTATTATTTTGTCTTCTTCCCTCTTCCATTCGACCTCACACTCGTATTCTTCAGCGCTGGAATCAAGCAGATCTTGATCCATATCTTCGATCTCATTCTTGGTTTGTAATTCCTCGGTAATTACTATATTGGTAATCGATGCATTCTGTAAAAGGAGTTGGTCTTGTTAACTGTGAATTACCTTACGTTTTTAAATTTAAATTAAGCTCTACTTACGACTTTCTCTTCCAATAACTTTATCTTCAAATCTTCACTCTTGTTCGATGCGATATTCGTATCTGGCCCAATGTATTTAGTTTCATCGTCGCTGCAAAAAATGTATTTCAAATAATCCAGTATAGTACTAACTTTATTAGGTATTACAACTACTATATACTTATTTAAAGGTAGAAAGAAGTTTTTAGTTAAATAAAAAAAGTACCTAGAAGTAATCGCAGCTCGACTTGTATCTTCACATATGGTCAACTTTCCTTCTTGTTCGACATCTACATCATCATCTTCAGATTTGATTTCCTGTTTGAGTTTTTCCGTTTCTTGTACTCTGTTCGCATCAGAAATAATAACACCCTTCTGTTGAGTATAATTTTCATTATCTATGTCTGTGTCTATAATATTAGGCGTTACAATGTCAATTTCTTTGATAATTAAATTTTGCGCTTGCCCTGATCCATTGTTACTTAAATTAGTTCCATTTTTCTGATTAACATCATTTGGTAAAGGTTTTTGTGGCTTAATAACGATTAATGGTGATTCAACTGGCAGGTTTGGCTCTTGCTCACCTTCACTATTGATATAAGTTAGTTCTACCGAACCACTTCCAATTATATTTCCTTCTTTTATTATAATATGATTTGTTTTGGTAACATTATTTTGCAAATTTAGATTTACATTATGTGTTACATTTGATTCTATTATATGTTCTTGTCTAACATCATCATTTCTCGGCAATACAGTGTTAGGGTTAACAATATAAGGAACATTGTTTAAAATTAGTATGGTTGTCTTAGGGTTTTGTGGTATCAAATCATTGTTATTCCCTTGGTGAGCTTCACTTAAGCCCTCTTGAGTCGTAATTTTTATAGTGGACGGTGGCACTGGTAAATTTTTGTTGATCTCTTCATTAATCGGGTTTTCAGATTGGTCAGGTAAAGTAAGTGTAGATATTTTTACAAATGGTTGCTTTACTAATTTGCTATTGTCATCATATTTTTCTGTTGCAGAATTTATTTTGATATCATGTGGATGAGTCATTTGATTCCTTATACTTTTATGTCCCTTATTGTACCTGAAAATATGATATGTAAATAAAAATGTAAAACAGGAGAATTGTGGAGCATGACTTTCTTTCTTAACTTTTAAACATGGGCTTTCGTCTACACGACGCGTTTTACAATTAAACTATGAAGGTAGAGTGAGAGATATGCGACTAGTAAATCAAGACATATACCCTTTCCGTCGATGCGGGAACAAGGAGAAACAATATCTAGCTAACTGAGGGTAGTCGCGCATTCTGTACAGCAACTCCGAACACAGAACACATGCCTCTGGATTATTACGAAATATCGACAACAGATATTTTAGTATTGCTGATTTCTTCTCTGTGTCTGATACTAATTCCTGTAACACAGTCACAAATAGCATAACTTTAATTTTTTTTTTCATTGACGCAGTTACTGCTGATACGTTATAACGGCTTAATGGCGACGTCTCATCATTAACCTAGTAAGGCCTAGCGTGTCCATATGGACACATGTGGCAAACCATTATTTGTTTAGAAATATTTAACTGGTCTATTGCTATCGAATGACAAAGTTTTCTTACATTATCATGCGTAAATTCATTGAACCCTTACTAAAGTAAAAAAAAAAAGACCCAAATGACAGTAAGAAAAAATAATTTATTATTGACTAGTTATTTTCGTGTAATATTATTCTAAAATAATGTATTTATATGTTGAAATATCAATACGATAGTTTAGTTTTGTTTTAGCACTATATTTCTAGGTTGCCGAGTTCTTACTTCACACTAAGCTCTTGGCATGTCATTATATAAAACTGTTCTTCGATTTTGACTGCTTGTAAATTGTAGTTAGTGAATCAGAGATGTGTCTACCCCCACCCACATATAGGAGAAACGCGATTTTATACTCAAACACAATATTATATATCTTTGTGATAAATATAGAATTCATATTAACCTCAGTCTTCCGAACGAGATCCTCCATACAGTTCTGTATAAAATATTCACGAAACATATCGATTTTGTCCGCCTGTTCTGGATTTAGAAAGGCTACGAACTCTGTGTACATATCCGCAAGATCCACGTCACAGGCTTTGTACAGCTCCTGCATCAGTTGCAGCGGGTCTTCGTCATCTGGCTTGAAGTGGGATAAGGCGCTAAAAATTCGCTTCTTAATGTGTTGGTTCCGAGCTTTATTTTCGCGGATTGTTAGCCTCGTTTGAAACGACGATACAAACGCTGAAAGAGAATGTAAATTACAGTAGTGTTTTTGAAAATCTAAAAATGTTTACCCGGTAATGGAACTACATATGGTAGTTCAGTGGTGACCCCACGTGAAGTTAAATTGTTACTAAATTAACTAATACATTTCGCGTGTTCAACAGTTAAAATTGTTTAATTAATTTAATGTGTACTAATCAGAGACTAGAGAAGTACATATTAAAAAAAAACACACTACTTAGTAGTTTGCTAGTTCAAGAAGACGTAAAATTTGGTAGATTTTAAACTCGATTGAATCATGATATACCAATCAGTGCCAATCACAATCGATCAAGAGACAGTTACATGCATTAAATTTAATTTAAGTATAAATAAAAGTAGCCTACCCAAATCTTTTGCTTCGTTGTCTCTGTCTTCAATTTCTTTACGCAAATCTACTACCCTCTTAACATCCTTTACTGCTTTCAGCGAATCTAATTTACTTTTCAAATCAGCAAAAATATTATGAGACCTACTCTTATAGTAGGTGAGTAGCAGTTTAAGCTTATTAGTGACTTTTGGATGTTTGATACTGCGGCATGGACACATCATTTTCGCGTTAAATTTTTTTATATACTCTGTTATACGTGTTTGTCTGTGTTTACATATATTTCTCAACAGATCGCAGCAGGCGCAGTGGGAATCTGTATTATTTGCGTCTATTGGCGTCTCAATTACTGGACTTTCTCTTTCTATTTCCATATCATCAGTTTCGAGGTCTGTGCCTTCGGTCTGTATTTGTAGAACTATGTTATCTGTGCTCTGCTTTTCAATGTCAATGTCAAGTTTGTCTGTGGGTGATGGTTTTGGTGAATGACAGTCGATCCGATTGCACTTGTAAACTTCAGAGAAAGTAATGGGTAGGGGAGCTTTCTCTGTGACTCTCTCCTTGATACTCTCGCCTGGCACCACTTCTATGCCGCGAGGCGTGCACTCTGGTTGACGTTTCTTGCTCATGAACGTCTGAAATACGTTATACATGTGATTAATATATTTTCAATCTATATAATCTCCAAGTCTAAACATCACATGTGACAACTTGTAATAAGTTGCCACATGTGATGTTTAGATGTTATAACATAACATAACATGTTTTTTTATATCTATTCTCCGTATTTTGCACGAATAGTCCACGTTTAAATAAAATATTTTAACGGTTTAAAACGCCAAATACATTAGTTGAACTATGGCCCGACGTTTGAGATGCTTTGCAGCAGCCGTGGTCAATTTTAATATTTTTAATTAATACATTTCGCGTTTTTAACAGTTAAAGTGATTTTATTCATATTTCACATCTTTCTAGGATATATACAATTTTTCCATTGTTGATGTTTTGACTACAAGAGTTGATTAATTCTGAGAGATGATATTTTTCACTTAATAAAGAATATGCTTATATGTTTAGATTTTCATGACAGAAAAATACAGAAATTGTATTCACTTGATAGAAGATCAAATACAAAGCTGAGCAGTATGCCACATATGCTATTTAGGCTATTTGACAACGCGAAAAATAGTCGTGACGTCACTAGCAGTATTGCATTTCATTTATTTCAGCAAATATGTACTAGGAATTAAAAAAAAATACTTTTCTGGAGTTCCCGTCACATCTACCAAATAGTATAAAATATATTGTAATAGCCCATATTGTTAATTAAGAGTTTTTGATTATTTCCTCACCCGGAACCGCTTGCTGCTTTTAGCGAGGTACCGCAGCCAGATCCTGGGCATCTCAGACTCGGGGTGCTCGTACAACGTCAGTTTAGGGTTGAACGGTATCAGTCTATGCGTCAGGGGTTCAATGTGACGAGATTTGAAGTATTTCTGAAAACATTCATTGCACAGCTAAAATAATATCATAAAGCTGAGTAGTTGGTTGGTTGGTTGTTTGTTGATCACTATCGGGGAAGGCTGTAGGCTATAAAACCTCAGTCTACGACCAACATAAGCAAAGTAACAGCGGGAAATGTAATAATGTAATAATAATAATATAGTAGTGATCTTAGTAACGGCCCGACGTTTCCGATGCTTTACAGCGGCCGTGGGGACCCTAAAAATTCGCGTTATCAACTGTTAATAGTGTTTTGTTTAAATGCGCAGTACTCACGTTAACTACAGGGCAATACATAGAAATTGTATGAATATTTATTTCGAAATTTCGATAATCAAAGTATTGCTTAGAAGTACAAATTTCCGATATGTTTTTATTTCGTTGTCCATATGTCGCCTGAAATAAGCGTTCGCGTCCCTAAACAATTCTAACGTGTTTCTTACATTTTAGATACTTACGATGATAGGGTGGTCTTTTCTTTTCTGTCTTCTAACAGTGGCTATGTGAAAGGCCAAAGTCCTCGGCGAGAGCCAGGGCAGCATATATTTGCAGATGAGATCGAGTGTGATGGTGAGACCCCAACGGTGCCGCGGATTGATGATCGGGCCCATCGGAAAGAGGTCCGGGTTCGCTTCCACGTATGACCACCATTGATCTAAGCCTAGAATTATTAGTCTGAAAAGAAACCATGCTGTATAAAATCATATTGAAGACTCATAAAAAACCGAATTGCATTCAAAAATGTCTTAAGCATCGTTGTCAAAGTGACTTGATCCACACTTTCAAAATAATTAGTCACTTTCCAAATAAAACACTAGTAACAGTTTAAAACGAAACATAGTTACGATTTATTTTAACGACGACGTTTCAGATGCTTTGCAGTAGCCCTGGTCACGGGTTCCCCCGTGACCACTTAGTGACTTATTTAAAATAAATTGTACATAGATATTTTATTTATTTATGCTGAAGGGTTATTTCTGTCATCCTGTGACAGAAATAACCCTTCAGCAATATAACTTCTAAACAAAATGCGCGTCTCCCCGTGACCACGGCTGCTGCAAAGCATCCGAAACGTCGGGCGGAAGTTAAAATCATTTTCAAATAAGTTTAACTAATATATCGCGTTTCAATCCGTTAAAGTGTTTTATTTAAATGTGTACTACTCGCGTAGACTATAGACAGTAATCAAAATGCGCTGTCGACCTATTTTGGCTTTGGATATTCGGTAATCCAGACTGACACCGAATCACGAGTAAACTTTTTTGGCATATAATAATAATATAAACATTTCACATTTTAAACTGTTAAAATGTGTTTTATTTGAACGTGTACTGTTCGCGTGAAGTTTAATTGCGTTTCGGTTTCAGTATCTGGATATCCAAAGCTAAAGAAGGTCCTATTTACATGTTATATGGCTGGGATATTTCACCTTCCAGCAAGTGATGTTCATGCTTGTCCTCTATCATAAAACTATGTAAAAATCAGCATGGCTGTTCGGCCGATGTAAGCTAGAAGAGTCTCTCGACGTTTCGCCGAAGAATTAGGAGGAGTTAACATCTCCTGATGATGATCCCACACGAGATGGCGAAACGTCGAGAACCTCTTCTCGCTCACGTCGGCCGAACAGCCCGAAAGACATATCATTATGCTGAACGATGGCCGTGAAAGCCTTACACAATGTATTATGTAAAAATCAGTTAAGCTGTTCAAGCCTGAGAGAGCTTAACACTTCCATTTTTTGAATCTATACACTACTATTAGATTTGATCACATACTGGTCTTCGGATAGTAGGTATTTGTTACGCTTCCTGGTCTCAGAGCGGTAAGCCATCGCGGGTAGAAGATGAGGATAGAGGAAGACTGGACTGTTCGCAATAACCTTCTTCACCTCCTCAGGGAAGTCAGCTACATATACGTTGTTAGTATTGCTCTTCTGACGGCTATAACACATAAAATAATAATATAAGTCTAATATTGGGGGCCACAGAATACCAGTGTTGCGACATAAGACCCAGCGTAGCTTACATTTCAGAGGCAACTATAATATTTAGGTTAAATCTTATTTACTTTTTTTATATTGTTTATTAGATCAAGTTGTAATTGTAAATGTTGTTTCAGAATAAACGTGTTCTTCTCTATTCTATTCTACGCGTACGAAGTGGCTGACTCAGCTAGATATATTATAAAGCTGAACAGTTTGTTTGTCTGTAAGCGCTAATCTCAGCAATCCTTAGCACTTTACCACCCCAAGGCATTGTAATTATTTTAATATTGATTTATCCATTTAAAGTATAACATACGATTTAAAATCGTTTAATGACCGAATTAAGAAGATAATGTTGTGGCCGGAGACAGTAGGAATTTAATGATTAGATAGTTGAGATAAATGTCTTACCATTTATCCATTTCGCCTTGAATGAATCTGTAAAAAAAGCACGTGTTTTTGTTAGCCCAATAAGTATTCCAAATCGAGACACACTTTGAAACTCAGTACGTGAACTTAAAGATGATATTGCAATCCGAAAAAAGTGTGTAATAGCATGCCCGATACAATTGGTAGAACAATTCTCTACCATTTGAGCTACTGATCACAGTTCGAGTTTGGCCCTTGTCATAATTTTTATCAATGTTAAATAATTATTACTTTAACAAATGAAACTGCAACTTTCATTATAATGATTCGTATGATAGTATGATTCAGCTTTTATTAATGTAATGTGTACTTACTCAACCATTTTCTTATTTTCCGGCGTCTCCTGGGAAACGGTGTTCTCCCAGGCCGTAACGAGTTCCAGCGCTGGTTTCAAATTGCAAACATTCACTACGGATTTCTCTTTACTTCCAACCATACTGTTGAAAGTTTCCTAGAACAAAAGTTACAACTGTCATACACATCGAATCATTTATTACTTTATGTAGATTTCTATAACGTTGTAGAAAAAATATTTGGAGAAAACCAATTTACTGAAAATAAATAAACACTTTAACGGTTTAAAACGCGATATATATTAGTTAAACTTAATTTGACTAACACGGCTGCTGCAAAGCAAACAAAACGTCGGGCCGTGGTTAAAAATAATTTTCAAATAAGTTTACTAATATACCGCGTTTTAAACCGTTAAAGTGTTTTATTTAAATGTATACTACTTGCGTAAACTATAGACAGTATTTAATATATATTTATTTATTAACTTTATTAATTACAAACACCACAGGAATGGTTTAATTTAATATAGTATATATATGGCGTTTTAAACCGTCAATGTGTTTAATTTAAATGTGTACTACTCGTGTAAACTACCGTCAGCTTCTATAAATAAAACTATAATAAATTTATAAATATAAAATATGAGTAAGTGTATTTTTTAACTGTATCCCTAAAAAAAATAACACGCACAGAGTAGAGATATTTCTGTGTGCTATCACTAATCGATTTTAAATGCATGAAGTTGGCCCGAACGAAATATATATTTTTTGCTGCGAACGTAGAAAAAAGAATACCAAATATTCCTTGTATTTCGGTGCGAAACTCCAATGCACGGGGTGAACGAAAAGCTGCAGGAAGTTGGACGCACATATTTGAATGTGCATCCGAAGCTGTTGTTGCAGTATCAGCAACTGGGTTTCCGTTATCTAGAATACAAGAAAACGTAAGTTATCATAAATTCACGATGATAGTTTTTAGAGTAACTGTGGACTTAATCTATTACATTACGGTAATAGTGGCAGAATTTTTATGTATAATCTTCCCATACGTGTCTATAAACATTTGTAATTTAAAAATATATCAATTTGACTCATGATAGTCTGTAGTTCTACGATAGCGTCGCTAAGGGGTTGTCCATTAACCACGTGAGGCTTGAAGAAAGGGGGGGAAGGGTTTGATAAAAATCACGAAAATAACACAAGGGTGTAGTAAGATATCTCGTGTATTTATTTTTTCGTCAAACGCGCGATTTTTAAACAAATTGTGAAGACATTTTTATTATGGTCCTTAATTTCAGAATAAAATAAGATTATAGTTTATACCGTTATAAATAGCAACAAGAACGTTTTAAAATACTTTTCTTCTACGTTTATATCTTTTCAAAGATGAGGTTAGAAGGCCCCGAAGTTTCGGGCCCCGGTGCATTGCCCCACCTGGCCCTACGATAGCTACGCCACTGTAGTTTTTCATATAATGGTCACATCGCAAAACGCCAACAAAATCTCAACAAGAATTAACACTATGACACGTTACAATTATATTATAAACCTTGCTTTATTTTTAACAAATTTTATTTTGTAAAAAATAAAGCAAAGGTAATTAGTAGTATTTTTTTTTCTGTACCGATTCTAAACACAATAGAAAAATATATTAACGTAAAAAGTAAACTCTATTTTATTAAGAGAGGTAGGAACCAATACATTATCTTTTACTGACATATGGAAAATTAAATTATAGATTTTATTAAACTCCTTACTGGATATGTTAACCTGGTACTTACCACATTACTGTCGACCTCCACTTTTATCGTATCGGCTGGCGCATTTAGTGCACTTCGGAGCGCGGGGGGAGGTTCTAGTGCGTCTGAGTTTTCAAGCACAATTTCTTCTATCACAATTACCGGAGCTGGTTCTGTACTAAAAACACAATTATTCTAGTACAAAGCAAAAAATTAAGGTAACTCCTTTAAAAGTCCTATTTGTTATTGTAAGTAATTTATATTAAGACAATATACATAGTTATATCCATAATTTATTACGTAATCTCTGAAAAAGTGTAACTTAAGATGTAACAAACACATCTTTGTGTCTGTTCCACTGATGGATTTCATTTACTGAAGATGGACGATATTCGAGGAGTATTCGGAGTCACATGCAATAGACTGGTTCGGAAGGAAAGGAAACGGTAGCCTTTTGGACAGTAACAGATCTTGTAGGAAGAAGAAGGAACAAGGCACAAATTACATATATTATTATTAATTGTATGATTTTATTTTATTAGTAGGATCAGACTTTTGTGACTACTGGGTAGCAAGCTTTACCATTAAGCGATGAAGGCGGTCAAGGGACAGAGGATATGATAAAATAAAAAAAAACTTACACAGTGTTTTTGTCATTTGAGCAACTAGTCTGTTGATCTGGGTCTTGGGGTTCACTTTTGCCAATTGATAGTCTGACCGAATCGTGCTTTTCGAAAACGAGTCCCGTAGAGGATCGGTACGATTCCTCGTCATCTGAAGTCGGTTCTTGTTTTCCTTCCCACGGTATATTTGGCTGTAAAATTATTAAAACATATAGTATGGGCAATTCTAATTGTTACACATGTGAAGTCTGTACTGTTATTAAAATAGAAATTGTTTAAAACACAAATATATTAGTTAATTTATTTTTAACTACGACGCTACGTATTCAATACTTTGCAGCAGCAAATCATATGTAGCTAAAACCGAATTAGAGATAGATGGACGAGGCCCTAAACAGTAGGTGTCTAAACTCAATCAATTAATAAATGTTTTTCGAATTTTAAAGGGTACAATAAATACATTTTTATTTTTTATTAAGATCACGAGATAAAAAGTGAAGTTAATAAAAATGGCCGACCTTACCTGAGTTCCATTTACAATTGTAGCATCGGTCAGATCTTGTGTCACTTGCGATTCTGGCATCACATTAAACAATTCTGTGACCAGATCATTTAGTTCCTTTTTAGATATCTTTATTAAGCTATTTTCAAGAGATTCTTCATCTTCCTCAACTAAAAATATAATGATAGATAAATAGTTTTAGTTATTAATAGAGAAGCAACAGCAATTATATATATTACTAGCTGTGCCAGCGACTTCGTTCGCGAGAATCTTTAATTTGGGCATCCAAATTAATTTTTTAAACTTAAGCTGTTAGCCACGACGTCGACCGCGTCCTTTATCGTCGTTCTTGCAAGTTAATCTTAAAAGAAAGACATATAGCGTAACGGACTTTTTTTTAGATCATTAGAAGAAAAATCATTCTTTCATACAATTTTTTTAGGTACGCATCTGAAATCTGCAGAGATGAAAAATTCGAGAGTTTTGTTCAGATTTCCCGCTGTCTCTTCGCTTTTATTAATCACAGCGCGATGTTTTATAGCCTATAGCCTGCCTCGATAAATCCTCTAACCAACACAAAAATACATTTTCAATTCGAACCCGTAGTATCTGAGATTAGCGCGTTCAAACAAACAGACAAACTCGTCAGCTTTATATATTAGTATAGAAATACTTCTATCTAATTTAGCCAAAAGTTGTTTACGTAGTTTGATATATACCAGCATCAGGATCAGCAGCAACATTATATTCTGGGTCCGCCTCATCATCGTCTTCGTGTCTCGTATTTGGGCCTGGATTGAGGCAGTCTTTCAAGAAATCGTTCCATAGATCATCAACATCTTGAAGGGGAATATCATCGGGTGGTATGAAGGAACTTTCTATATGCTCTATTGGCGTTTCGGAGAGGCTAAGTTTTGAACGGGTTCGGAGGGCGATTGTGGCTTCCTCTTCTAAATCCAGCTGCCGTCGAGCGTGGGATACTGTCTCCTAATAATAAAATATTAATATTCAATTATTAGTGCATATAAAACATTATATTTTAGGTAGCTTGACAATTACTAGTTCATGAGTAAATTTATTTTAATTGTTATATGTAATTGGTTTAAATAGTTGTAATAGTAATATATAAATGTATTTTTTTTAAATGTACTTCAATGCATCATAAACTATTATCCAATCCAATTTCCAAAACATTTTTAACAATTTTTGCAGGACCCTTGCTAAAATTCAAAATCAAAATTAAAGTTGCACTCTTAAAATTTGTCTTTTTTTAAATAATATACCTGAGGAACTTTGAATGGCCCATCTTTTACAACTTTGGGACTGGACTTTGTTTGACTTTTAGGCGTTGCTGGTGTGGCAGGCTGTGAATCTATATCACTGCATGCGGTGTGGTCATCGTCACTCTGTAATTAAAATGTTTAGAACTTACAACTGGCAAATACGAAGACACATCTTGATTTCAATAAAACACTTTAACCGTTTAAAGCGCGATATATTAGTCTCCCCATCAGCATCCAAAACGTCGGGCCAAAGTTAAAAATGATTTTTAAAAAAGTTTAACTAATATGTCGCGCGCGCTTTAAACTGTTATAGTGTTTTATTGAAATGTGTACTACTCACGTAAACTATAGACACATCTTTATGTCGATTTTGTTGATTCATTTTATTAACAAAAAAAAGCAACATTTTTTTTTAGGCTTGGCCCCACTTTAACCTATATATCTGTGGACTTTAGTTTTTTTAATTGATTTTAAATATTACTAAAATAATCATACTGCTAAATCATCATGAGTCGGCTGGTAATCTTCATCATCTTCATCTTCAGGTAGCTCCTGAGCTATCAATGCCTTCACTTCAGGTCTTGTCTTAAATGGTATATGGTTAATTGGAATCAGCTCTAAATTCCATGGTGCAGATTTGGGTGATGCTTTCATTAACTCCCTGAAATTGTTAATTGAGCCTTTAGATTCTCATTTCAATCCTTGAGCAGACACAATTTTGTGTCCTGTCTATTGGAATTTCTATACAGACAAGGTTAGGAATTAAGGTGGTGACTAGCTAAAGTATATTTCAATTGTTCTTTATATGTAAAATGTTTCTTTATTTCACCACATACTTGGCTTTTGCCCTTGTAAGTTTTGGTTGCATATTCTCCTGGCATGCAACATTTTCTTCCTCTTCACGAAGTTTGACGAAAGCCAGAACATGATCATTAGTTACCACTTTCTGCAAAGATTTATCAAACAACATGTTACTTTTGGTTGACATTTTTATAAATAATACATTTTCACAGCTTTTATATCTATATAGTGTAAAACTGAAATATGTGAATGATAGTGTCTAATTGCATCAAATAGATCCTACAAAATAAAAGACAATTCAATATTAAACAAAATCAATATGGGCTAGCGAAAGACACATTTTAATATATTTTAATGAATCAAAATATTTCAAGTTGTTCTGTTTTATACCCAGGCAAAAACTATTCACTATGTAAACCTGTTTAAACCAATCTTTTACACTAAATGCAATACATTTTTCCTCTCTAGTCATTGTAGAGAATTTTTAAAATGTATGAAACATTTCTTATTTCTTTAATCCAGCTCTTTAGGATAAGTACCTTTAGAATCTTCTTAACACTGACATCATCTAAATGATTTTTTAATGCTGAGGCATGAAGATTTTTTTCTATTTCAAGAGTATTTTCTGGAAGGACATCTTCTTCCTCACTCGAATCACTGAGAAAACATTAACATTTGTCTGTTAGTTATAAACTTTGTAGAAATGTTTACATTGAATAAATTTGCAAAGAAAAAACATACCGTTTTCTTTTCTTGGCTCTTACTCTCTGTTTATTTTTTGATGAATCAGTTGTTTCAGCTGAAGTAGACGTTTCTTTATCGCGATTCATATTATTTTGTTCACTAGTAGTGCTGCATCATGTCTGAATTAATGTTTTGGCTACCGCTTGCACATAATGCAATTGAATATAAAAAGATTTTTTGTTCAATTTCTATGTTACGATAGGTTAAGTAGCAAGTTTGCAGATAATGTGGACTGATCATTCGGCCAATCCCAGTGTCCTCAATAAAAAATATTTAAAAAATACAATATATTTCGATGAAAGCGATAGTAAATTATATGTGACAAACAAAATGTAAATCTTCTTCCACAATACATATATGGCGATGCAAGAACTTATACAGACAAGTTGATTCCGAGCTGGGCTATAAACAATAAGACAACTAAATTCACTTATTAATATATCTATCTATTGATCAAAGTGTTTCTTTCTTTGGAGTTTAAATTGTAAAATTTTTACCTTTAAATTGAGCGGTGATAATGACGTTTTAACGGTTATTAATTGACATTTGGTAAATATCAAAGTTGCAACACCACAGACTGCAAAACGACTAATCTTTGACGATAGACGATACACATAATTAGGCTATGCTCTTTTTGAGCGACGTATAATTATTAGGAAATTTTATTTTCTGTTTGTTCGGCACTAACTTCCTTGTATGTATTATATATGAACTGATTTTTTCCAAGGTTTCCCTATTTAAACTTACATTGAAAATCGGCTCAAACTTTAAATGAAATCGGCTTAGATCAATATTTGTTTTAATTATTAATCTAAGAATTACTTCAATCACAAAAATCAGGTTCGAGAATATTTAAAAATAGTGTTAAGAAAAGTTTTGAGAATTGTCTAAATACAAAACGATATGATTTTAATTTTATTTTGAAATACTTATATGGTCCAGTGAAATGAAGTTATAACTACACTCATAAATCAGATGAAATGTTATGTTTTAATAAATAGTACATATATAATAAGTTATGAATTACTTTAATTTATAATTATAGTTTTTTTAATGAGTTAATATAATTTTAATACTTCCACTTATATATATTAAAATCAAACAATTCAAATGGGTGATGCGATGGCTAATAATACTTCTTACATGACACTGCTTAGTTGTAGACGAGCACTTCATTACTTTTGGTTTGTTACATCTTTATGAATCATCAAGGAAATAAAATTGGTTTGCCAAAGTTAACAACATTACTTTATTTTGTATGAAAAAATAAAGTTCTAAAAATTTTATATTTCGATTTTTTAATAATTTTATTACAATAAATATAATGCACAGTGCAAATTTATGTGATAATTACATATACAACAATATAGTCTACAATTAATTTTCAGGACAGGATGACAGGAAACTACTCTTATTATAATATGCTGAGATTAGTGTTTCACATTGTTAACTGTTTCATAATACTCAGCGAGTAACTTTTTCATATCTTCATATCCGGACAATTCCTGAGCTTGATGTAGTGGAAGCCATTTGAAATCCTGATGCTCATCAGATAGTATGACTGGTGTGTCAGGATTTTTTAATTTCGCCAGCCAGTATATTACCTCCTTCGGCTTACCATTCACATTATAGAAAAGTGTCTTTTTTGAGCTCTCATCAATCTGAAATGTTAAAATTTCATGTAATAACATGCAAGATTGTTTTTTTTACTTTTAAAAATATATGCATCTAAACCCACACAGAAGGAAAGGTTGCAAACTTAGAGCGGATAAGGTTGTCTCAGAACAGAAAATTGCTTTGCAACAATCCAGACATGAATTATCTATCCAATATTTAATCTGACTAAAGTATATAAAATCCACATTAAATAATAGTAATCTGTATCACTTAAAGATTTGGTATTTTGGAGCAATTATTATTCTCATATACCTCTAAATCCTTTTGACAGTAGCCTGCTTCCTCTTTTGTTTCTCTCAGTGCAGTTTCCCAGTCAGACTCCCCTGGATCAACATGCCCTGACAAGAAATAGTTTATTTAATACGGACAACTAAAGAGAAAATAGGTGTATTTTACCTTTGGGTGGAGTCCAGTGGTGTATACCGTAGGATGTTTGTAATAACAAAAATTGTATGAGATCATTGGAATATTTGTATATAACTAAACCGGCGGCACGGGTCGGCGACATAATCTTATTCTGAAAAGGAAATGCATTATAATTAAATTATAATATTACCTTGGATTATGCTTAACTTCAATAGTACTCATGTTAACAAGAAAAGGAAACAGTCGCAATAAGATTTACAGCAGTTTCATACGGTATTACGGTTAATCACTTACAAAATAAATAACTTTACTTACCCAAGTATCCTTGTACTTTGTGAGGTTTTCGTTATAATCGGTAACTATATTTAATTTGATTAGTGACAGTACATGAGAAATCTGATAACAGATAGCATGTAAAAAGTAATCTTCATATTTTTATGAAAATGATAAATAATTAGTTCAATTCAGAAAAGTTGTTGCGGGCAAGTGTTGAAAAACTTTGAATCAAGGAGGCAAGGAAGTACTATATTATTTTGAAATCAATTTGTGACATTAGGTGTCAAAGTCATGCTAGTTGCTAATGGTGATAAAATCAAAATTTTAACATACAAGGCCAATAAAATAACTTTATGAAATTTTAAATTAAATAATAGTGTTTTTTTTTTATTTTAATTATGAAAATAAACCTCAATTGATATAAAATAAATGAATTCAAAATTTTCATCTACTCAAGACTTTTGACAGTTGCCCATATGCCAAAAATACATGACAACAAGTTTTACTCAGATTTGAAAAGCTAACGAAAATATTTTATTCGAATTGCAACGGTGGTTCGGGAACAACAATAATCAAAGAATGAAGCATGATACAATAGGTAGTCGTTATTAAAAACATTTTAAATTTTCAGCATTTCGTTAACTTGTGGTGTATACTTGTGCTACAAGATATTGTGTAGGAATAATGTTACAAAAGTGGAAAAGTGTTCTTACAAATTGGGTAAGTCGTTTTTCAACACTGCTAAAAGTCTTGTTTAGGAGTTATATTAGGCTATATTATTTTTACATTTATATAATTTTTGATTTAATTTAATCATTATACGGATTGTATTTCATTATTTTTGTACCATTCTCCAGTGTACTTACATAATAACGATTTTTTATACCGGTTCACAACGGCTGTTGCTACTAGGGCGCAGCTGCTATCGACAGATGTTTATGCTTTTTGCTTAACATAATAGTGATAATACTATTATTTCTTCATTGCATATATTTTTTCAAGCTATATAAAGCTTACCGTAATATAATAAGTCTTTACATAAATATAAGATTAATTTCGAAATATTTAAATAGAGGTCTAGTTTAGATTATTTTAATCATTATTAAATTTCAATCATTACAGATAAATTGTTATTTCAATGATGAAGACAAAACAACATTGTCAGTTACTTTAGAAACTTTGGTTGAAATTATATCACATTTGAGAGAGAATTTTAACCTGGACGAATCCAAGTCATCTCTTCTAGAAGCACACACAATTAACGACTTTATATCGGAAAAGTACCCGTACTTTAAATTTGAAAATGGAACAACAACGCCTATGTGTGAACAAGAGGTGTACATAGCTGCCTCTCTTTTACTCTATTTTGTGTGTGTGAATTCTAAAAATGTGCACATTAAAAGTGCTATGTGTAAAAAACTTAGTGGCGAAGATCAGGAGGTTATCCTCAAATTTAGCAAATTCCTGATGGCATGTGCCCAGATTTCATGTGATGATGTTTTGGCAGCAATTAGAGGTACATAAAGAATTGCTATACATATTATTATTATTATTTTCTATTATTGACACAGATAGAAATTTATAAATAATAGTATATTGATTAATATTTTTCTACACCTATTCTTATAAATCTATTATGGTTTTCCAAAAATTACAGACTCGTGCATGCAAGAAATATCGGGAAGTTCAGAGCAGTTCACAGTGTCTGAGACACCACCAGCATTGCGTTCACTTCATAGTGAAGTCCGGCGCTTGCAGGCTGCTTTGGATGCGGAAAGATTTGACAGGAACTTTCTACAAGAGGAGTTGAGTAGGACCAATTTTAAACTTCAAAAATTATGTAAGTTGTCTTTTCTGCTATTATATTGAAATATATGCAACTTTGATTTGAGACAATTGGTCATAATTTTTTGCTTATTATTCGATACTAGCTGTGTTAGCGATTTCGTCCGCGTATAATAGTTATTTTGAGCATTCAATCTTTATTTTTATAAATTTAAGCTGTCCACGACATCGGTTGCGTCCCGTCGTTCTTGCAAGTTAATCTTAAAATGTAGACATACAGTGTCTCGGACATTTTTATACATCATTTAAAGAGAAATCATTCTTTCATACATATTTTTTGGTGACTTGAACCATTTTCGCAGCGTACGCATCTGAAACCCACAGAGATGAAAAATTTCCTCCTGTTTTATTGATAGGATAATTATTATGTAATAAACCATATGTCTTCTTCTCAGTGAATGACAAAGAACAATGCAAACTAGAGATTTTAAACCTGAAAGCAAAAATATCCCTTTGCTGTGGTGATAATAAGGAATCAAAGATATCGGAGCCATCAGAAAATAATTCAGCCAAATTAAAGAAGCAATTGGAGGAAGCAGAAGAAAGGCTTGCTTCTGTTCAGGAGCAAATGGATGACTTGCAACATGAACGAGATGTATTCAAGACTAAGGTATTACAATGTTTTCATACATGTATACCAATTATCTACCTGGTCTTGTGACTTCTTCCGCGTAGAATAGCTATTTTTGGATCAAAATGTTATTTGTAAACCTCCTCATCTTTATGAATTAAAGCTACATACTTCATCCACGGTCCGTCGTTTTTGCTGGTGAATATTAAAAGATAAATATATATTGTCGCTGACATTATTTTAGATAATTTAAAAAATATTATTTAAAACATATTTTGGGTATCTTAAACATTTTCGCAAGGCATGTACTGTTTGAATTGAAAACCTACATTTTAATTCAAACCAGGAGTTCTTGAATTCAACATGTTCAAACAAACAAACAAACAAACTTTTCAGCCTTGTATTATTAGTACATATTTGGTATAGATAGATATAAAGACATTTACACTATGTTTGGTCTTTGAACAATTTTATTTTTTAGTTGGATGAGATTAAACAACAGTATGATACATTATTGAATTTAAATCAACAAGAGATCATCCGCGCTACCCAGCTGGCTGAGGAGTTGGAAATAGAGCGTCGACAGACTCAATCTCTTCAAGAATTAGTCTCTGAACTTCAGCAGCATAACCGATTGAATGGTCTAGACACGAGCCAGTTAGAATGTGATGATATTTATGTCAGTATGAATTCACCGCAAAATAATACATGTAAGTGAACATGCATGCTACTAAATGTTATGGGTATGTAGTTAATAAACTTTAAATATAGCACTTTTAACTGTTGAAAATTCCAAAACTATTATGTTTACAGCGGCCATGCTAAGACCTCTTCCCTGTATAGTATGCGCCTTGCGGTATGAAATACCTGGAGTGTTTAACTTTTCATTTATTTTCAGCTGTTTGCAGTGAAGCCTGCGCTAATGTAATCGAAGTCCAGCTCAGTGAAGAAAGGGCGAAAATTGTTGATCTCCAACAACAAATACAGAATCTTGAAGTGTGTTTTGTTTTTCTTTATTATTTCTATTGATTTTTTTTACCTTAAGTAACAAAGTTGTTTATTGCAGGGTCAGTTAAATGATTTAACTAAAAGGTATGAAGATGAAAAACAAAGCTTTACAAATATTGTAATAAAAAAAGACAATGAAATACTAAGCCTAAAGAACAGGATAGATGAAGAATTAGAAACCAAAATTACAATGAAATTACACTTTGATAATGAAGTAAATAAATTGAGCAGTGATTTCTCTGAAATGGAACAAAAATTAAAAGAGACAACCCAGTCATCAAAACAAATAATTGAATCAAAAATGGACGAAATTCAAACTCTGCAAGAAGAAAAGATCTCACTTCTACATAGTCTTAATAATGAAACAGCAAAACTGGAAAATGTTATAAAAAATCTTCAAAGCGATATTGCAGTTGAGAAGGCTGCCAAAATAAAATTAAGTGAAGAGTTTGATAAAAAAGTTATGCTTCTGAATGATAAAGTACTCAATAAAAATAATGAACTTTTTGAACTACAAGATAAAATTATAAAGAATGGTGAAGAAATAGAAAATTTACAAAGGCAGCTGAAAAAAGAAAAAGAATTGAAAGATGACCTCTCCAATAAACATAACAATGATATTATGAACTTATCTCTACAAAAGACAGAACTAGAAAAAGAATTACATCAAAAATCCAAACAACTAGTAGAATTGGAGATACAGTTGAAGCAATATGCAGACATGAGTACCGAATTGAAGAAAAAAGTAGACTATTTGAATAATTGTTGCACTCAGTCACAAGAAGAGTGCAAGCTGTTGAATGAAAACAAAGAAAGGTTGCTCAACGACATTAAAAATCGTGATATAAAATTGGACAAGTCGGAAAAAGAGATGGAAAATCTGGAAAAAGGTTTTCACGAAATGAGTGAAAAGTTGACATGTAGCTTAAATGAATCTCAAGCTACGATACATACGCTCAAAAGTCAGTTACAAGATGAAATAGAATATAAACTAAGATTGCAAAAAACTATCAGCGATATGGAAAAAGTATTATTTGAAAAAGATGATACCATTGCACAAACATGTAAAGAAAAAGAAGACGTCATACTGGCCTTAAATGAGAAAATAAACAAACTTTCTGGAGATGTTGAAAAGAAGGACATGGGTAAGTAAAATATCTTCTTTGAGACAAAATTTTATATAACAGATATTAAACAATTAAAATTCCCCTTACAGATATAAAAGAATTTAATGACAATTTATTAGCAAAAACAAAAATGGTTGATGATTTACAAAAGGATTTTAATTCTGAGACAACCAAATTGGCTACTAAGCTATCTGATATGGAAAAAATACTTAAAGATTCTAAGGCTAAATCAAGTACTACGATTGAAAATTTGGAACTAACAGTACAGAAGTTGAATTTAGAAATTGAAAAGTTAATCGATTTAAATAAAGACATACAGCAGAAGCTAGTTGTTGCTGAAAATGAGAAATCCCTTTTGGTTCAAAAACTTAGTGAAGAAATAGTTCAAAGGAATAATATCGAAAAGGAATATCTCCAAAAGTGCTCAGCCTTTAATAATACTACATTACAATACAATGAAGAAATTTTAAAATATAGAGACCAAATAACCCACTTGAAGGAAAACTTACAAACAATTGAAAATGAACATATCAAGAAATGTACCGGTCAGTGTTTTGTTCTATTACTAATAGATTTTTTTTTATATGTGTGAATATAAATAATAATCATACTATTCACTTTTTTTCAGACAATAAAACTCTGGAATGGAACATATCTCAAACATTACAAAATCATAAAAATATACTTGTGAAAAAGGATACTGATTTACAAGAATTATTGAGTGAAGTAAATGAAGTAAAAGCTTTAAATGTCGACCTTCAAAATCAACTGAAAACTCATTTAGCAAAACATGACCAAAGCATAGAGGCATTGAAAAGAGAACATGAGCAGCTACGTAAAACATTAGAACAAGAAAATAGTAGACTCAGAGTAGCAATGGAAGAGAAGAATTGTATAATTAAAAAGTTAGAAAGCGACATGGAATCTTTATTACATCAGCTAGAAAAGGTAAAACTTGATTATGACGTTGACAAAGGTAAATGGGAAAAGTCTAAATGTAATATGGACGATATGATTAAGAAAAAGGATATACAAATTAATGAGTATAATTTAAAGGTTAATTTATTAAATGAGAAAAATGCTGTTCTAACAAAACAAAATAATAACAATGTAGAGATTATTCAAAACACAAATAAGGAAATTGAACAATTAAGAAAAACCTGCGCGCATCATGCTCTTGGTAATAGCGAATTGGAAGGCAGTCTAGCTATGGAAAAGGCTGTGAGAGATTCTCTAGAGTCTGAGAAACAGAACTTACAAGAACAAAATCGTATTTTACTGCAAAAGACATTTGAAGATCAGGTGTCATACAAAGTACTTGAAGCTGAGAGGGACGCTCTCCTCAATGAAAAAACAATAATGATTCAAGAACTCTTAGAAGAAAAATCAGTTAGAAAAATTATTGAAGAAGAAAAGGAGACAGTAATGTTAGAAAAAAATCATATAGAGGTAGAACTAAACAGTCTGAACTGCTTCAAAAACACTTTATTGCAAGAAAAAGAATGTCTTACTCAGCAACTTGTTGAAGAAGGATTAAACAAAAAAATTTTAGAAGATGAAAAATTTAAAATAGCTGATATCAAAGCCGAATTAGATGAGAAATTAGCCACTGAAATTCTCAACAGAATGCACGTTGAGAAACAACTTAACTCATCGGCGATAGTCAATGAAAATCTTTCTGAGGAAATATCTAAGCTCAAAACCATGATCAATGCATTAGAGAATGAAAAATTAAAACTTTATCAACAGGTTGAAAGTTTTATTTTACAAAAAGAGGATTCACTTGTACAAATCAACCAATTGAATAGGGATGTGCAAGAATTAACTGATCTTAAAAATAAAATTAATAGTGAAAAATCAGAAGTTTGCCAAGAGAAAGATTCGCTCATAAAAATAACCAACGATTTAAGATTAGAACTAGAGCAAATAACAGCAGAAAAGAAAAACCTTAACCAGAAATGTGAAGAGCTCATGCAAAAGTATTCCATAGATCTTAATAACTCTGAAGAACAAATACAAAATATAACATCGGAATACAATGTTTTGAAATCAGATTATAAAAGTATGTATCACTATTTTTCCTTATAATATTTTTGTCATTTTTATATTTCATTCCTAACCTTAATTTCAGACTTACAAGGTGAAAATGAAATTATTACTTCAATTATGGCCAATGTCTTTGATAATATTATAGCCAAAATAAAGTATACAAATCATGCACATTTACTAGAAAATGTATTAATATCGAATTTAGAAACTGCAGAGAAATTTAGAAGTATCACAGAGATAGTTAGTTGTATAATTGAAGATCTCTCGTCTTCGAAAAACATGGAAAAATACATGGAGCAAAAGATTGCTGAATTAAAAAACACAGAAAAAGAAAATCAACTTCTAATTTCAAAACTCCAAGACGATTTACAAAATCTACATACAATTGTCGAAGAATATAAGAATAGTTAGTTTTTATTGAGATATTATTTCGTCAGTTTCGTAGAGAAATATTAAGGATAATTTCATTTACATTTTATTTTTTTCAGAACTTATACAGGAAGATCAAGCCTTGGAATCTAAAGCATCGGATATTCGTAAATTACAAACTCAAAATGACACGCTTCACAATGAATTGACTACAATTAAAGTACAATTAGATGAAAAAGTCCACTCTCTTAAAGACAAATTAATAGACAATGAGAACCTAACTGATAAATTAAAGGAAACCTACGAATGCCAAATAGACAATTTAAATATGATGGTTACGAAATTGACAACTTACTTAAAAGACAAAACTACGGAGCTAGACTCGGTCGGTCTAGAAAGGGATAAATTACAAGCAAGTCTTGAACAGAATATTAAAGGTAGGTAAATCTTAGTAAAATCGTCTACCTATGTTGACGTTGATGATATAATTTTTAAATGTTTTTTTGTAATGTGGAATATTTTATTTTGTTTTAGACATAAAGTCTTTCGAAGATGAAATAAAGTCTCATAAACAAATACACGAAAAGTTAATAAGCGAATTTGATTCGGAAAGACAAGTTCTCAAAAATATGGTGACGGTTACAGAATCCGTTATGGATGATCAAAAAGCCAGTCTTAATAAAGTTATTTCTGGTTACATTAAAACAATTGATACTTTGCAAGAGGAAATAACAGCATTGAAAGACCTAGTTGATGCTGAGAAAAACAATTCTCTTACTAAATTGAAAGAAAAGGAAAATGCTTTTGAAGCTCTTTTCCAGGATTTGAATGTGCTTCGAAGGGAAAAAGAAAGTCTGGAAAATAGATTGCAATCAGAAATGGCTACTTCTCATAATACAGTGACGCAACTAACTGTAGATAAAGGAACTTTATTATCATCATTGGATAAATGCAAAAAAGGTATGGATTTGTGTATTAAACTCATGTTGCTTATGTTGAAAACCCCGATGGTGCGGAGAGTAAAATCGAAACCATGTGTTTTATTGCAGATATTGCTTGCAAGGATGAAGCTTACCAAGAATTGAAGATCAAGTTAGACCAAATTGTTAAAGAACGTGACACATTAAACGAAGAAATTAACGAATTTAAAATTAATAATTGTTTACTGCAAGAGAAATTACAAAGCGATACAGAATTAATAAACAAAGTCCCGGCTCTAGAAAAAGAAAACACAACTTTACTAATGGAAAAGATAGAATTGATAAAACAAATAAATGCGTTGAACGTAAAAGTAGAAGAAAATATAGTTAATTCCAAGAACATAACAAAGTTAGAAAAAATTAAGGTAGATTTGGAGGAAACTGTTAATAAACAAGCATCAGGTGAGTTAATATATATATATATATAATAATAATATAAACTATACCAAGTTTTAGCTTAAGTTGCTTAAAATAATTTATTTATATATTTTTTGTACAGAGCTAAGCAACATGAAATCCCAATTAGAATGCGTAGTGAACGAAAATAAGAAACAGCAAAATGCCTTTGACTCTGAAAAACTAAATTTAACAAACAAATGTAGCCTTTTACAAGAGTATCAGGAGAAAGCGACGAAGGAATTGGATGAGAGACAGAAAGAGATAGATGTATTAGAAAAGAATATAGATATGTTGATTTGCGAAAGAGATGAAGCCATTTCGTCTTTGCGCAATAGTGATTCAGAAATTGAGGAGCTTAACAAAATTATAATTGAAGAGAGAAAAGCAAAGGAGCATTATATAAATGAAATGGCAAAGTTAAAATTAGATGTGAGCGACTTGAGACAACGCCTGGACGAGGCGAAACAGGATCTGGAAGTGATTAATGTTCTCAGGAAGGAAAATGAAGAGTTATACCAATTGGTGGGCGAAAGGGAGACATGTATGTATTTTCCTTCTCTTTTGTTGGCTTGCTTAAAGTATGCATAATGACTTATGAAATAATGATAATTTTTGTTTACCAATATGCATTTAATAAAAGTTAAAGTCTTGTTATGACTATATAAGCACTGTTTATGTTTTACTCATTTAGAATGTAATTGTGGTTTACTTTGAATGATGTCTTCATTATTTTTGTTTGAATATTTATTACTTACAGTTTCAGCATCCAGTCATGATAAATCATCACAAAGATATCAAAATAAAGTTGAAATGGAACTACGCCAACTGCAAAACCAGGTAGATAACACTTCTACTGATACTCACACATCAACAGACAGTTTCAAAACAATTTCAGATTTAGAGATGATCCTGCAAGACAAGAACCGTGCCATCACTTCCCTCCAAAGCGATATCACGTTCCTGAAAACCCTCGTAGGCGAATCCGAGAATAAATTGCTCGATGTCACAAAAGACTTGGAGCTCAGCAAGGAGAACTGCCAACAGCTCTCAAGCCAACTCAAAAAGATAGTCCATCAGAAGAACGAGGAAATCGCTGAACTGAAGAAGCAGGTCACGAAGATGAGCGCCACCGAGAACAGAGCGACGCAAATAATCAAACTATCCGCCAGGTACCAGGCCATGATCCTGAAGCGGGTCGCAGAGCTTAAGACCAACACGATTCTCAAGGAATTGACGAACTTCGGTAATTCTACGAACTGTGATAACGACATTAGAAGGAACCTTAACGCGGGATCCGTTACCATGGAGGACCTCGAGAACTTTTTGGATACTACTGACAGGCATCTTAAACGATGCGCAGAGAGACAAATCGCGTTGCAAAAAGAGAGGGACAGACTATCAGAAGTTAATAGGATAACTGAATCGGAAGTCATTAACATGAGAAAGTTCTTGACCGAACTATCCGTTAGCGTGAAGACATTTAATTCCGTGAAAGAGCTGTACGGCCAAAAGCTTAGTCGTGTCGTATCCCTACAACGAACAGTCAGGCGGGAGATACTCAATCTGGACGGCCAAATCAACGACCCTACTATGTGTAAACTGGAAAGAGGTTACGCAGCTGTAATGCAGGATTTATCAGAATGCGCAATGAATATGGAGAGGTGGGTAGAGAGATGCATGGGAAGAACTATTTCCTCTGAGAAGATAAAGCAGGCGTTCGCCAGCGAGCTGGACAGGGTTTCACTAGCCTCCTCGAGTTTCCAGAATACGAGTCTTGAGGTTCAGCTGGAAGAGCTGGAGAGCTCTTTCCAGAAACTTCTGGAAGAGGTGAACAGAGCTCGCAACGGCGAGGGAGTGAAAGACGCCCAATCCGTGACAGTGCTGGAAGTTCGCGCGGAGTACGAAGATAAGCTCAATCGGATGAAGGCTAAAATGGTCAGTATCCTCCCCATACTGTTGTTGATATTGTTGTATCAGGTGGTGTGGTGGTTCTATCTAGGAATGGATTATTGAGTGGCTTTTTATTTATTTATTCTTGTTGACTTGTGAAGTCTTTATTTATCAAATAAATGTTTTAATGGATGCTTTTTGTTTTATTTTTACGTTCATTAAAACATTGTAGATTAGTTTACTTTGCGTCTGAGACGTTTCAGGTAATTTAGTTTTTATATTTTGCATGCGCATGCGCACGGATGTGATTTGAGTATTGTTGACGCTTTTGGTATTCAACTAATACATATGTTTATAAAATAATGCACGAAAAAAATTATATATCCAAGAAAAATTTGCAAAAAGTTAAAAATATTTCAGAAACAACTGTACCAAGAGCAAATTTCACTGTTCAAAGAGAGACAAAAGGATGAAATAGCTAACTTGGAGCGGGAGCTCGAAGAGACGCGGAACAAGTTAGAGGAGTCTAGTCGAGCGTACGAGAAGCACATACGTTCTCTAACGACGGAGCTGTGGAACGTCGGAGAGAAGTTCCTCATGAAGAAGGACGAGGCTGAGTGGTTGAGGAAGACGCAGCGTTCCGGATCACTAATGTCTCTACAACATGTGCATTCGGTAAGAAGTTTATGTACACATTTATTTTTTAATTATTACAAACAACTTGCTGTCACTAGCAAATATTTGGAAAATGTCAAATATTTAAAAATATACATTAATAAGTATTACTTCTAAATTTACAAATAAAATGGCTAGTCGGGTTTTAGTCATTTGAGTCGTATTTTAAAAACAATTCACCTAAATTATTCAAATTGTGATACTTGTAATGTTCCAGTCGGGTCTTGTAGTTCCACCAGAGGAGCCATGCAGACCCTCCGATTCGCACTCGCTTCGCTCACTACCTGTCACCAACAACACGAAAGGTAAGTACGCGATCGACGTATATTGATCAAATAGAATTCTTATATTGTATGAGTTACACGAGTGGTGCACCTAACACGGTTGTATCACAACGGTTTTAAACGCGCTCTGTACTTGTTAATACGAATGAAGGTGTTTAAAGTGATGCTGTGAACAGGTATGAAAGTAACCCTATGTTTTAACAAGTACGTAATTTTGCCATTAAAAGATTACCTATAGAAGAGTAGATAAAACTCACAATAAAATTAAGAAGTAATTTATTTTGTTATAAAATATTTTTTGTGACAAATAATGTTGTGTCGTTTGGTAAAAAGGACTCTAGTTTACGTGAATAAATTTAAATAGAACATGTTAAGGTTCGCGAAACGTGGGGCCGTAGTTAAAATAAAATATTTACTTATAAATATATTCTTATGGCACAAAATGTTAAGTATCTGTAACTACCACTGCAGATTAAAAATGTTTAGGGCCCCCTGATTAAAAAGTCATTTTAAATTCAGTACTTTGTGTCTGCAGAAACTCGTGGCGTTCACATGTCTGACGAAGAAGGCGAAGTCTTCGACAACAGGTGGCTAAAGGAGCTGTCTTCGACACCTCGTCGGGAACGCGAATCGATTCCACCAGGACAGAGACTGTCCGAGTTACGTTGGAGGAATTCGCTCTGCCCTCCCCACCTTAAGAGCTCCTACCCAGCCGAGACACAGTTCGCACCAGCTCTACACGAGGAGGACATTAAGGTTAGAATTTGAAACGTTTCACAGGCTCGTTGGTGTAATCTTAATAACACTGTACGGCTAATAATTAACGGGTCCAACATTTAAATAAAACACCTTAACGGTTTAAATCGCGATATATTAGTTAAACTTATTTGGAAATGATTTTTAACTTCGGCCCGACGTTTCGGATGCTTTGCAGCAGCCGTGGTGGTGGTATATATATATAGCTTTAAAATAAGTTCTTAATAATGGTCCAAAAGGTTATGTTCTTCGCATTTTTGGTTCAGTGGTTAATAATACATTCGACTGTAGATCGCGAGGTCAAAGGTTCGATTAAGGGTCTTGGTGAAAATATATTTAGAATATCAGGCCCGTATTTCTATGAGCACGTTAAGCTGTTGGGCTTGGTAATTTTAATTTAAAAATCGAAAATAAATTGAAAAAATTTTCGACTCGAGCGGGACTTGAACCGGCATCGTCAGCGTTCCGTGCTGTTGCTCTACCAATTGAGCTACCGAGTCTATTATATTATATAGTGCTTTCATGTGTAATAACATGTAAAATATTAATGTTTTCAAACCTTGGTAATTTTAGTTTATCGAGTAGTTGTAAGGCTAAGTTAGTCCGCACTGAAACGCCTATGAATTTCCAGATGAGCTCGATGTCTCTCGGAGGTCGAGCTGTGCGCAAGGAAGTCGGTATAACAGCATACAAGAAGCCAGGCCCGCCTACGCCGAGCAAGCAAGCGGGACGACTCTCAGCAACAGTAGGTTTTTTTATTATTTTCTATTCACATACACACGGTGTAAATCATACCATATTCTATATTAATTTGAAAGTTATTTTAGTATATATGTTTAATATATTTATATGCATCATAGATATATGTAATATGCGCATGTCCATTACAAGTTAGTCAATTTTAACAATGGTGAATTTAATTCTTAAGTATTAAATCAAAGTCATATTGTAAGAGAAAGAAGTGCAAAAACAGCGGCATGACCAGTCTTGGGTTTGAGTTCCGTCATACATATTTTTAAGTTGTTTATAATTTTTGAAATCAGACTAAATTCATTACACAATTTATTAAATTCATGTTAGCTAAATTGGTAGAGCATCAGCTTTGGTCATGGGTTCAAGTCGCGTGTCTAAATTTTTTTAAGTATGAAATATATTTTTAATTAAGATTACTTACTGATTATAAATCGTATATTACAGGATTCTGAGTTGCGCGAATCACTTCGTGTGGAAACGGAGCCGAGTGCATCTCGCAAGACTAGCACGCCTTCGCGACTTCGTTCACTTTTCCGCAGTAACAAGAATGAAACAGCCGAAGTAAGTACTAATGCACTAAGTGTGAATGAGAGTAAAGAGAAGTTACACGGCGGTGAGGCAAAGGGCGTACTCATATCTAAATACTGATAAACACGGGATTCGAACCCAGGATCTCTCTTATTTAACGCTACGGCCTGCTCTTTATGGAACTTTTCCTTGTTTCTTTTTATTGTTATTCATTAAAATAAGGTAGTTTATAAACTTCGGCTCGCTTTGTTTTCAGACTACCCCACGAAGCAGAAGATTGAGCAATATATTCAGAAAGAAGTGATTCCCCCACCGAGCCATGCATTCGAAGTTCCGAACTATGTTGAAAATAAATTTTATTAATTTATTCTTTTATAATGTCGTTTTATTTAGTAGAAGTACACCACAAAAATTGCTTTTAGCACCAAAACATTAATTACTTACAAAATGTACAAAATTGTGCTTGTTACGTATTGAAACACAAATTTCACTGACAATATAAATATGAGACTAAGAACTAACCATTAATAAAAAAAAAGATTATATCTCTGTACTTCAATGAAAATTAAAAATTAAATAAACATCTGAAATATAATAAAAAAAATATTTTTCGTATCTATTCGTTAAAAAATGTATATTTACCGATATCAAATTCAATTAATAGCGTTTAGTTAGTTCTTAGGCTGTGTAAAATAAATAATCTCACTTATTCACAAAAAGATCTGATCGTTACAAAATAAACGGTAAAAAATAAATTTAATACAGCATTAAAATTAACATACAAGTGTATAACAGTACAAAACATTTCATATACTTAAATCACAAGGTACACACATCACACAGAGTTTAAACTAAAGATATTTACTCGAAAATTATTATTAAACATTTTTACTTGATTTATATAAAGAGAAAATCGATATTGTGTTTCAGAGAGAAACAAACTATTTATTTTTCGGCCGGCGAGAATACTGTTTTATAACGATACTCATATGTATTATGTGTAAATAAAACTAACAAAAAATGTTCACATGATATCACATACATTAATAATGTCAAAACGTATGTATTAAGGTTGAAATTACATTGCGCGAGAGTCGCATGTATGAATGGTTTGAAAAATTCGACGATAACGTAGGACATGCTCGAAATGCGGTAGATGCCGGTTCAAATCTTGTCCGTGTCGTAAATTTTTTTTTCAATCTATAATAGATTTTTAAAGGCAAACATAATTAATAGTGTAGTCGGTGGCAAAAAAATCCCCCTTGATCTTGCAAGAAACTAACAAGCTAATATATCTAATGCGCTTTTAAGTAAGGCGCTGTTGTTGTTATTAGTTACCCATATGCAGTTAGTTAAATGTCAGACTCGCGCATAGCCCACAGACCATACTATCGGAACTAACTCTCTTTTTACCGCTATCCAACTCTAATCGTTATTGGTTAAACAACTGCTCTAACAAAAAAAAATTGAAACCGAGTAATATTGCAATCGATTTAAATTAGTTCTTTAAGTAATTGTAGTATAAATTTGTTAGATATTAAATAAATAAAAAGTTTTCAATAGTTGACAGCTATACAAGATGAGACTAAAATATTTTCAGGTTATATATATCAGATATAGCAGAATAGAATATAAAAGTTTCGGAGATAAAGCGTCGTTAAAAATCTTAACCTAAATACTTTTGAGTATCAATAAATCCAACAACAATTCATTAAATAAATAATTATTTAAAAACACTAACATATGTCAATTGTCAATAAACAGTAACTACAATAAAAGTGCTTTGAAGTTTAAATAAATACACGGTTTTAAACATTAAGCAAATTTTGTGACCTAAATGGCAGTACGGATACATTTGAACATTGAACTATCTAATTAGTGCTTTCAATACTTACTCTAGACACGTTTCTGTACAAAACATTAATTAACTATCTATTCTATTGAATGTTAAACTAGATCGTTATGTACACCGTTCGTTATAAATAAGATTAAGCTAACAAGCCATTTTACAGCTATAGACCGATAGCTAAGTTTATAAATTATAAGTATCCACAACTCTAAAACTGTCTTAACGTTTTTACAAAATTCACTGATAGAGACTTTTTCGTACCTAAAGAGATTTAACACATGTCGTTGGTCGTATGGTAAATTCACATAAAGATATAATGACCGTCGTCAGATAGAACTAAGTCTTCACTTCACAATTTCGGAAGTCTTCCAATCGTTTAGTTGCATATGAGCATATGCCGCTCTATTTAGAGGCAGGCGTTAGGGTTGTGCGTGCACCATCGCGGCCACAGTGGCATAGCTTCTATCCCTTTAGCCACTAACCTCGACCGTTGCGTGTCTAATCTTAAGTAAACGTCAGCGGTTGCGCCTTCCGGTCGATCCGACCACAAACGTTCGGCGACGGCCGCTGATCTCGGCCAAAGTCGGGCGTCTAACCCTCCAGGACCAGACTGTTCCGTCCAAAGACATACCTCCCCTCCGTCGATCAACCATGGCTCCGCCCCAGTAGACATGCCGGGCATCTCCTCTATCCACGGTCTGTGCTCGTATATCTGTTGCCACGACCGATACGGGCCACAGTGCCCGTCAGAACTGTCCCTCCAGGACCCGAACCCGCAGTCCAAATACCACGCGTCCACGTGAGAAATTATGGAGCGAAAACCCATGTCTAAAACTGCCCGCGACTCCGGCCATCGCGAAGCGCCCCACACTTGAATGGCGAAGTGTTTCTTGTCGAGCCTTTCTAGATAAGGCGATCGAGTCAACCGTGAAGACCAGAGGAGCGTGACTTCTGGCAATTTACCCTTATTCGCCCGTTGTAAGGACAACATGGCTCGTCGTGTGAATTCCAGCCACAGATCCATCGGATCTGTATCGTTGAAGTGTTGCGTCCAACAGCGCTCGGAGACCTCATCTCCGCCGAGGTGGAATATATCGTCTACGCCGGTGAGTTGTATGATCTCACTGTACACGTGCTCCAGGATTTTGTAAACGTGAGGATTTTTGGGGTTAAGCTGCCCGCACGGTGGTTCGCCGCAATACGCGCTCCAAGGTTCTACTTCTATACAATGAGCTAGCGGACCCAAACCGGCTGCCGGTCCCCAAGCCCACGCGCGTCCCACATGCGCAGGAGTATCGACTTCAATTAAAACTCGTACGCCTCTTAGTCTCGCTCTACGTACAACTGTTCGGACATCGTCAGTTGTGTAGATGGCGCCAGGTCCGTACGCTCCGTGCTGAGTCAGTTGAGGGGCGCTGTTTAACTTCAACGGGAAAGACTGTGAATCGCTGATGTGCCAGTGAAACGTGTTTAACTTATTAGCCGCCATTGCATCTATTGTTCGAAGTATTTCATTTAGGGGGAAGAAGTTTCGAGCCGTATCTAAAAGTAGGCCGCGAAATTTAAACTTGGGTGCGTCTTCTATACTAGCTGCTTCGAGCGCTAGCAGTGAGCCCGCGTAGGGATCTATCCATATGAGTTGTGAAAGAGTTTCGTAGGCGTGTCTGGCGCCACAGAAGGAGTAAGCTGTTATATCAACATATAGCACACCATCGCCGGGTCGCAAAGTGAGCTTATAGCTTTCATTTGTTTCAAGCCGTAAGCGGGGATCAGCCGAGCCGTTGACCGCAACACGAACTATTACATCCCTCGAAGGGCCGATGTCACTTCTTCGGCTCTCTGAACTCCCAGTCCGCTCTAGTGATTTTAGGTCTTCAATGAAAAGAGTGAAAGCATCTGATAGATGATCGGAGACATCTCGCGATGGTGAAGAACGAATTTGTAAGGTGAAGGCGTCGGCCCTCACGGGTACAGCGGCCGTGGCTAAGCTGACTGGGCCGGTCGGCTGAGGCCACAGTTGCGTGGAGGCGCAGAGCATGTTGCACGTAGCTAGCGATTGCAATATAGTGGTTTCAGTGGCGAGCAACCTTTCGCAGCGTTCGTTTCGACATACCCAGGACCATTGTGGTTCCACACCCCTGTAAGATAAGATTGATTATAGAGATTACTAATTTACAACATATTGTTCCATTTGTGCACTTTTTATTGATTTGGAAACGAAACAAAGTCGTATACAAAAAATGGAATAATTAACAAACAAATATACCTAAAGATTGATTTATTATATATAGTTTATAAAGATATATGAAATAAAGAGATTTGAGAGAAACAGTCGTGGTACAAATCTTTGAAAAAATCGCTTACACTAGAAAACGGATAGTACTAATTGAATTGGATGGTTAACCGAACAATACATATTTATATTAAGTAGTACAATTATTATTTCTAACTCACGTAGACTAATGAAAAAGTGAACTTACGAATATAGACTGTGTAAAGGCCTGTGCGCTTGGTCTCCGGTCTGCTGCCGCCAATACAATAAAGCGACCCCGGTACAAGCTGCAACAGCGAGCAGCAACATCGCCCGCCGAAGCCTGCCGACGCGCGAGAAGTGTGCGGACGCACTCCGCCCTAGCGCTTCGCCCCACGACTTCATTTTAAACACCGCTGCTGTAAAGAAGACATCAAAACTTCAGTCTCAATAAGCTTTTTGTTTTTGTGGTAGAGGACGGACAGAAAGGCATGGGCTTCTTTTAATCAAAGGTCGACAGCGAATCTTGTTTAGCGTTCTATATGGGTAACGTACGTATACGTTTTATGGGTGTGGTATTTCACCTTCCATCAAGTGAACCATGCCTGTCTGTCCTTCTCTATCATAAAAAAGGTGTACCCCGTAAATAACATCAGAACAAGATGTGCTGATGACGTATCTTGGCTATGGACATTCAACTCGCACTCGGGAAAGATTACATTTTTTATACGATTGTATCAATAAACATGAAACAGTCGAACCCCTGACAGGTGATCAACGAGCTCGGCACAATATAAAAAAGATCTCAAAAGACAGTTTCACTTCTTTCACTGAGTAGTTTAACTACATAAATTAGTTTAAATTATGTTTAATGTCAGGATTAGAGAACACACCTTTTAAAGCAAAGCGAAACCTTATAACGATAATATAAACTCTCATATTCCTTATGAACCAATTTAATGATTTGCAAAGTAGAATGGCTTTAACCGAGGCTTTCTATGGTCGTATATTTCTACTATAACCATAAACGCAAATATTATGCGCTATCCCCATATTAAATACGGCGCGTATACAATAGATAGAGACATGTATTTCGGTATCGTTAAGTTAAACAAAAAAGACCGCCTATGTAGCTAAATGGTTAAACGTGTTGCCTTAATCGCGAGAGGTCCTAGGTTCGAATTCTAGGGAAACAATAGATTGTTTCGGTCAGGCAGGGCACAGAAGTCTGATCAATTACTTGTCCGTAAAGAAAACCGATCGGTGAAACGGACAAAGAAATGCGTTCGCCCCATGCCCCACGGGGGCTACGGGATTTCACTTTAAGTTCAACAATATTAAGTAAAGTTGGTATATAATCTATTTAGATTGAAATAAATCATGACACGGGCTGGAATTGAATCGACATCCGCAGCATTTGTTGCTCTAAAGAGTTGAGCTAATGCTTCCTACACTTCGTCTTTATCAATTAGTCTTATAACTAAATATATACTGTCTATAGTTTACGCGAGTAGTACACATTTAAATAAAACACTTTAACGGTTTAAAACGCGATATATTAGTTAAACTTATTTGAAAATGATTTTTAACTTCGGCCCGACGTTTCGGATGCTTTGCAGCAGCCGTGGTCACGGGGAGACTAAAGATGGAGGATGTCTCTGACGTCAAAGTAAAAAATTGCTACGCAAGCGCCATCTAGCGGGCCGAAGTTAAAAATCATTTTCAAATAAGTTTAACTAATATATCGCGTTTTAAACCGTTAAAGTGTTTTATTCAAACTAAATATATTTTTTAATTTTTATATTACCATCGTGTGCATTGATCTGAGACAAATATTAAAGGTTCTGAACATATTTATTTATTTTCAGTTTAATGATGTGTTTTCTATCTTAAGTTATAATCGTACTAGCGGTGTCGGCGACTTCGTCCGCGCGTAATTGTTATTTTGGGCATCAAATTTCATTTTTGCAAACGACGTCTCTAGCTTTATAAATTATAGCTCATACAACGATGGTCTTGCTAGTTAATCTTAAAGGATAGACATATTGTCACGGACATTTTTTTAGGTAATTCAAAGAGGAATCGTTTTGTCATATTGTTTAGTATAATAATAAAATCGCAGCGATATATTGTATAGCCTTTTTCGATAAATGCTCTATCTAACACGAATTTTCAATTCAAACCAGTAGTTGCTGAGATTACCGCGTTCGAACAAACTCTACCGCTTTATAATTAGTGCAGATTATACGTAGAGATGTTATTAATGGATGGGCCACCACAGATTATACTCGCTTTGGAATATTATTAATAGCCATCTCCGTTTCGCGTATTCCCAAGACGTGCTCGGTGTCTATTTCTATATTGAGACAAGTTAAAAGCTTCCAGACGCTTGCATTTGGGTCACTGTGAGCTAGGGCGTGTACCTTACTAGGGGATCAAATGTTAGCCATTACGTCCCTTACCCGCGAAATTCTCTAAGGCATTTCTGTATTTATTTAGCAAAAGTAAACAAACGGACTACATTACACACAAAGGAATAATGAAAAAGAGAGTTTAAAGGAATCTTAAGAATTTCACACATATTTGAAGACTTTATTATTTTTCACATGAAGGCACTATATAATTTAAAAATCGAAAATAAATTGAAAAATTTTTCGACTCGGGCACGACTTGAACCGGCAGTAGTGGCACCCCTGAATGATTCTTAACTTTACGATGCAGTCGACCAGTACACGGTCCCTGGTGGACCCCTAGACACGTTCACAAATACACTCCGTTCAGGCACCTCCATCTTGGAATTGTTTCATTTTTATATTAGTTAGATTGTGAGGGACAGCGTCACGGTGCGGGCGCGGTCGGAGTTTTATGATAATAACATGAGGCAACAGTCGCTATTTTCAGTCTGTAAGAATTGAGTTGGAAAGTGAAGATGCAATTTACAACACGGCCATGTACTTGAGAACTATTCGAAGTTATTTACATAACTTTTATAATACTAAAACCGTATGAACACGATTTATTGTAAATATTTACCTTTATTGAACAAATAAAGATAGATAGCTATTTTATTCAAATAAAACAATTTTAATTATCAAAGTCAAAGCTACCTACCCCTTCAGTCTACCCGTGACCACGGCACATTCAAAAAGTCGGTCCGTATTTAAAATAAGTTGTAATACATTTCGTGTTTCAAATCGTTAAAAATGTTTTGTGTACTACTCGAATGAGCTACAGACAATCCTTAGTTATTTTATTGAGCTATTAGTTCTTGAGACACAGACAGGACAGACAAAAATAACAGCGTACTTTTAGTACGAGGGTTCTTTTTTATATATGTAGTTATTGTTATAGAACTATTTATACGTCGTTATAGTTAATATGTTTAAACCAAATGCGATATTAATATTTATAAACTAGTACTACTAACCTAAACCCCAATGTTAAATTAAAAGAAATAAGTGACTTACCCTTAACACAAATAAATTTAATTAAAATATGTTTTTATAAAACACACGTCGATCATGTTTTTTAACTGCTATTAACACGAATGAAAGAAACTAATCATCCGCTTAGATAAGGCTATATCAAGAATATTAAGATTTAGAGCTTATTAACGTTATCTATTTCTTTCACCGATTATTAATTAATATCGATAGTCATATCTATCAAAATAGTGATGCTAATTATAATTTCATTTAATGTAATTAACTAAGATAAAGTTAATACTTTTCACGAACATAGCACGTTTCTTCATTAGAAAACCATATTTATTTAAGTTATTTCTCGGGTTTTTTCAATAATCTGTTGATACTAAATTAGAGTTGAATTATTATATTATATATACTATAGTATATAGTGCATTAGTTAATTACGATTCTTGCATAACATATTACGTACTTCTTTGTAACAGCAATCTATACTATTCTCAATCTATAAGTATTATTCCTTTTTAAATGATATCAATTTAAAAGATAAACTTGCAAGAACGACCGTTTCCGAGCGACGGGACGCATCCGATGCCGATGTCGGATAGCAGCTAAATTTATAAAGATGAAATTTGGATGCCCGGAATTTCTATTCTACGCGGACGAAGTCGCTAACACAGGTAGTTAGTTTATTCTTTAATTAAACTTATATTTTATTTTAAGTAACGGTAATATATATAGCATGTAAGATTGTAAAATAACGTTGGGGAACTATCTAAATAAATATATAGAAATAATTCTATGTCTATTTCAATTAGAGACTTCTGTACTTTGCTCGTATGAAACTATATTCACGATTCGTACTTAAGCAGACCCACAATCCCTAATTCTCGTCACAGGCCTCGTCTTGTATTGGAGAGAGAGTGCAAGACGAGAGACCTAACAGTGTGTTACAGACAGACGTTTAACGTGGTCTTGGAGGTTCACACGCACACACATTACTTTCGAATTCTGCGCTTGATTCTATCACTATTAGATAAATTTAAATAAAACACTTTAACGGTTTAAAACGCGATATATTAGTTAAACTTATTTGAAAATGATTTTTAACTTCGGTCCGTCGTTTCGGATGCTTTGCAGCAGCCGTGGTCACGTTAAACTGACACGGAGACAGTTGTCTCCGTGTCAGTTTAACTAATACATCGCGTTTTAAACCGTTAAAGTGTTTTATTTAAATGTGTACTACTCGCGTAAACTATAGACAGTATTTTATTAGATAAATTCCAAAAACCCGCTTTAAATTTATTTATTTATTAAGATTTTTTTATGATAAAGAAGTACAAGTATGGTAAGTACTTGATAGACGGTGCAATAGCCCAGCCAAGTAACATCTAAACGAAATGGGCTGTCGGCCTATTTTGCCTTTGGATAGAAATCCACAGACTCTACTACGATACTACGATTAAACTTGACAGCTTTTCATCTGTGGAGGGTGGTTCGTCACGTATATGGAATTTCGATTTCAAATCCAAATTTCCAGACGAAGTCCAACATGCTTCAGAAACTGGTACTCGAACCCACGATCCTTCGAATCCTCGTCTCTGCAGATGGACGAATCACGAGACAATCCCTAATTGATGAAGGATAATTGATCAATATAAAAACACACTTTCAAACCGTATAACGTTATTAATGGAGGCTGTTATTTATAAGCGTGTTTTCCATCTAAGCTGAAATGTAAAATTAATCGAGGGGAAATTTCGATGAATATTCAATTATGCCTTTCAGCTTAGTTGAATGGAGTTTTCGTTTTTGTAGCGACGCGGGCGTTACCAGGGCTGCATGAAGTATGCAGAGCGCGCTACCTAAGTTTCTACGAGGCGAAGTGACGGCGGGCGGCTAAGATGCAGTGGGAAAATTGAAACGATATTCTTAAGGACCAGGAGTGGAATATAATAAAACAAGCAATAATTATAAACT